TTTAAGTACTAGGTGTCTTAAAGAGTTGGCAGTTCGAAATAAAGAAAAATACCCATTAGCTGCTGATGCTCTAAAAAATTCTTGTTATGTAGATGATATTTTACATGGTGCAAATGATATCGAGACTTTGTACAAGACTTATAAGCAACTTTCTACGAGTCTAAATTCCGCTGGGATACCACTCCATAAATGGAGTTCTAATTCTTCCGAGTTTCTCGACTCTATTTCCTCTGAATCTCAAAAATCTAATTATGTAATAAAACCCGATAATTCGTCAAATAAAGTTCTTGGAATATGTTGGAATTCTCAGTCTGACATGTTCTCTATCTCTCTTCCTGACATTTCTAGTGAATCAAAATACACAAAAAGAGAAGTTCTATCAATTATTTCTTCTATTTTTGATCCTCTTGGTTTAATAAATCCGATTACTGTATCTGCCAAGTTGTTAATGCAAAAAATTTGGATATGTAACTTAAATTGGGATGACAAACTCACAGGAGAAATTTCATCAGAATGGTTGAATTTTCTAGCTCACATTCCTGATCTTGCAAAACTCACAATCTCTAGACCTCTGCTCAATCCGCTCAATATTTCTCGAATTGAAATCCATGGTTTCTGCGATGCAAGTATGAAGGCATATGGCGCTTGTATTTATTTACGGGTTTTACATGAAAATGGAATGGTTTCATGCAACTTAATTACTTCAAAGAGTCGTGTAGCTCCCCTAAAAACCATTTCCCTACCCAGACTTGAATTATTAGGGCGGTTTTGCTTTCTACCCTGATTTCAAATATCTTTCTTATTATTTCACCAAAGGTTTCTTCCATAGCTTCGGTTAGGCTCTGGACAGACTCCCAAATTGTACTTGCATGGATAAATTCTCACCCTTCTCGTTGGTCAATCTTCGTAGCCAACCGTATAACTCAAATACAGGAGTTAACGCGAACTTATTTATGGAATCACGTAAGTTCTAAAGATAACCCAGCAGATATTCTGTCTCGCGGTACCACACCGGCCCTGCTGGTAGACAATACATTATGGTGGCATGGGCCCCATTTTCTAATGAACGCAACCACTAAATTTAATGAATTTGTTCCAAATATTAATATAACAGATATCCCTGAAATAAAAGCCACTTTACACGCTGTAAATAATTCGAAACCTACTCTATATACAACTTTTTGTAAATTCTCATCTTTCACTCGGTTACAAAGAGTAATTGCATATTGCAATAGGTATATTTACAATCTTAAAAATAAAGAAAACAAAAGAAATGGTGTACTTTCGGCTTTCGAATTAATAGAAGCCGAGCAGAGAATAGTTAAAATCATTCAACTAACATTCTTTCAATCAGAATTTAAAGACTTAAAGCATCAAAAAACAATAAAAAATAAGGCTATCTTAAAATTGAATCCATTTATAGACGCATCTGATTTAATAAGAGTTGGTGGACGACTTCGCAATGCAAATGTTTCGTATAATCAAAAATTTCCACTTCTTCTTCCTACAAAATGCCAGGTAGTTAGATCATTACTTGAAAGAGAACACATTCGCCTATTGCACACAGGCCCTCAAAATACATTGTCAAATATTAGACTCACTTATTGGCCTCTTGATGGACTAAGAGAAATCAAGAGGATCATCTACAAATGTAAGAACTGTTACAGATTTAACTCAAGACCAGCTCATCAAATAATGGCCGATCTACCCAAAGAACGGTTTCAGGTCTCTCGACCATTTACAAATGTCGGCATCGACTACGGGGGCCCATTTCAAATAAAATCTTCAAAACTGCGACGTGCTCCCATTTGTAAGGCTTATATAGCAGTATTCGTATGCCTCGTCACTAAGGCAGTCCATATAGAGCTAGTGTCCAGTCTTAGCACCGAAGCATTCCTACTAACGTTAAAAAGATTCATTTCACGCAGAGGTATTCCTAAAACCATTTATTCGGACAATGCGTCCAACTTTCTTGGAGCTCGTAATCAGTTAAAAGAGCTTTATGACTTTTTTATGGGAAAGGATGGTGTACCTACCATAAAAGAATTCGCAGCCTCAACATTAATTGAGTGGAAGTTCATTGCACCTAGATCTCCACATCAGGGTGGAATTTGGGAAGCAGCCATAAAAAGCTGCAAGTATCATTTAGTAAGGATGATGGGCAATAATATTTTTACATTTGAGGAATTAACCACTATTTTGGCTCAAATAGAAGCTGTTTTAAATTCACGACCCCTCTGTCCATTGTCAGACAGTCCAAATGATTTTTCTTTTCTAACCCCCGCTCATTTTCTCATTGGAAGCAGCATGACTTCCTATCCAGAAAAAGATATCTCGACAAAATCCGAAAATAGTTTATCACTGTGGCAGAAATGCAGCAAAATTCAGCAGCATTTCTGGAAATGTTGGTCTAGGGATTATTTAAATCGCCTCCAAAATAAGCCCAAATGGTTTCTGCCCCAAGAAAACATTAAAGTCGATGATCTTGTACTCCTAATCGATGATAACGCTCCTCCTCTAAAATGGCCACTGGCAAGAGTAATCGAAACACTGCCAGGTAAAGACGGCAGGGTTAGAACTGTAAAACTAAGAACTAAAGACGGAACATTTATAAGATCTGTTGTTAAAGTATGTCCTTTACCCCATACTCATTTAGATGTAGGTCACATCAACGGGGGACTATGTTGCGTAACAACAATATTTAATATTTTTAGTCTAGTTTTGTATCATATTATTTAGTTTATTTTTGTATCATACTGTATATTAGTTTAGATATATAAAATTTCTTTGTAATAATTAATAATCTGTAAAGCGCCGTTATCTTGCATTTAAATAACTTTCTACTCAAGTTTCTAAAACCTTCATAGAATTATAACAATGAAAGGATTAGTATTTTCCAAATTACCCTCTGACGCATTCCAAAGTTCCGCAAGTAGAGACAAATACCCTTATCAGGTAGTTTATCAATGATTTGAAAGTTAAAGGTATTTGAAAAATAAACATATCTTTTAATACGTCGAGGGGTCAGGGGGGAGATTTTGGAATGTTTGTGATTGAGGGAAGAGAGTGGAGATGAGTTCGCAGTTAAAATCCATCAGGATCAGTTCAAATTCCAGCACTGAAGGAGCGTCAGGCTCTACTCGCCCCAGCGGCATATTAGTGTTTTAAACCAGTCAATATAGTTCGTGTCAATATTGTATCACCGACAAGTGTGTATATGCAAGTTAGCGGCGTTTAAAATACATTGTATTTGTTTAAATATATTTGTTCAAACGTTCTTTTCGAATCTTCATTTTTCCCAGTTTTCTGGGTGGTCCTTCAAAGAAATATATATAAAGTGAACCTATTTCCCTAAGGAAAAACCTTGTTCCCCAAGGGAAAAAACCAGCGACCTATTACTGGTGCGCGAAACAAAGCCATCAGGACAAAGGTGTAAGGACAAACACCTACATCTTCGCTCAAAGAGCTCTTGAGGGAGAAACAGCAGGAATAAAGATCCATGGAACACCAAATAACAACATTAGATATGCGGACGATACTATCATAATAACAGATAACCTGCAAGACCTCCAAAAGCTAATAAACAAAATAGTTGAGTATGGAGAAGAATATCTCTTATCCATAAACATCAAGAAAACTAAATTTATGAGGGTTTTGATATCCTGACAATTAACAGCAAAACTTTAGAACAAGTTGAAAATTACAATTATCTTGACACAATAATTAATCACACAAACGATTACTCCAAAGAAATCAAAGTTCGCAAAGTTAGTAGAGAAAACACGAACAAACTTCAATAAAATAAGAAAGGTACTTTGTGCAAGAGAACTAAAATTAGACTTGAGAGTTAGGCTGGTAAGGTGTTATATTTTCTCGATTCGGCTTTGCGGGATAGAAGCATGGACACTACTAAACGCGTCGACTACTAAAAATTTGGAAGCATTTGAACTGTGGGTGTATAGAAGAATCCTGAAGATATCATGAACCGTAAAGAGCACGTAAAGAAGAAGTTCCTCAAAAGAATTAATATCATTCAAAACACTTTAAAAAATGTAAAACTGATCACAAAATCATTAATACTAATGAACAGAAAACATTGCTATGGACAAAGAGCTACAAAAAAGGTAAACAAAAAATAAATGCAACAACCTTTTAGAACTTCGAATTTGAAATCGAAACGTCAAAACAAATGTAAAATATAATTACCATTATAACCAATTTTTAATACCATGAAAAATAATATTTAACGTATTAATGTACTTTCCTCTTCAAAAATGTTTTCACTTTTCACAAAAATTTTATTAAATATATTATCGTGTTTTTTATGCATGATTCCTGGGTTATAACACTCTTTCCAATCTGTCAGTAATTCTTCTTCTTCAAGGACAGCTGATATAACCTCAAACTAAGCCTCAAACACACACAACAAAGCTGACACGGCGTTTTTTAGTATATTGTAATTGACATTTTTGACATTCGCGAGGGAATTTCAAAATCATGGATATTTAATTTGTTTTGTAAAAACGTTTCTACAATTATTATTAGTATTTGGTTTACAACAACAACGTCTAGTTTACTTATAATAACATGTGTACAATATTGTTAAAAATAATTTCTACAACTCAATTCAAATTAATTAATATTGATAGTGTTTAAATAAACATATATGGGCAGTTCAGAGGGATAACTATATATTTAATATGATATAATAACAATACCTGATTATCATAAATTGTGTACGCCAAATTTTACCTTCTGTTAATTTATAATCTCATTTATTACATTAGCGAGAAAGTGAAAAATAATCTGAAGTCTTTACAAAGCCGTTGGCAAAGGAAACAGGTATAATAAATTAATTATGATCTGTTGGGAACGTAAACAGGCAAATAGATTCAATGTGCGCGCGCTTAGCGCGACCTGTATCATTTCGTCACATATATTAACCTTTTGTTATATTGCTTTGAAGTTAATTATGTCTATCAGAAAATAATTAATCCGATGTTTAATATCTAAATTTATCTACTGGTCAGTGTGATTTTAGCCAGTGCAGTGAATTATAAACGTTAAAAGTGATTAATTGACGGATGTCGATCGAAAGTTATGGAATGTTTTTGGGAGAGATCGAGATCAGAAATATCTACCGTTGGTTGCCGCCGGAAGAGTGGCTTGTCATTAGACAAACGAAGTCCCAGTTAAATACTGACACATTCTGAATGGTTTTACGCATTATTTGGTGTGTTATTACTTTATTCACCTTATTTTAAGTCGCGAAAAATAGTTTAAAGTGTTTGGTAATGTTAAACAGCGAATTAAAATGGAAAACAGATAAATGTTGACTATTTTACTCGCCCAAGATGGCTGCCGTCGGAATTCATTCTACTTTTGTGCTGCGTATGAACGTGTTATAATTTCGATGTGGACAATTCGAAATTATTTATAAGATATTTTATAATCTGTGCAAGTAATTAATCACCGTTTAAATGGGTTTGGTGGTAGATAATAGGTAGACAAGTGTAGTTTTTACTGCGTTTTAATTTTGGAGGACACAGATTTGGGTGCCGCCGGATAACGAACTTTTAATTTTAGAAGTGTGCCCAACGGTCTGGTGAGTACAAAAGCAGTTAGGATGCTCTAATAATTACAGATAAATGTGACAATAACCCCAATATATAATCAACTTCACGAAAAATTAGTAAAACAGATAAATTTGGTGATATTTACGACATCCCTTTTCGAATAAACAAATTTGCTTGTCTACTATTTGTTTATGGCCTAAGATCGGAAAGGTGTTAATATGTGTCGTATTCAGTAAAAAGCGATAATGTTTGGTTTGTTTAAAATAGGATTTTTATTCCTAAAAACCTTTGTTTAATTTATAAAATTATACCGCCAAAAAATCACTACTGTTTACAGTCTACTTTTTTTGTAATATTCCTAGAAAATAGCCTTAAAATCAATAATATTACCAACAGCTTTTAATGAGGAATTTATGTAAATTGGTTATTATAAACAACATTAGAATACATATACATCCATAACCTAAAATATTGTTGTGTGATAAAATCTATGATTTTTTAACAGAAAATTTGTTGTTTTGTCGATATTTCTTTCCGTTTTTGTCAGGACTAGATTATTTATATTACAAGAATAAAAATAACAATATAATTTTAGCTTCCTGCCCATCTGCTCAACCTACATACTCATAATTTTTTTCTATGCCGTATTTTAAAAAAATGTTGAGGCCCATGTAAAAAATATAAATGTACAGAAATGTAGAACGGGAGTCAGACAAGGTTGTGTTTTGCCACCGATCTTATTTAAAGCAATTGTATAATCCTGCGCAGTTTAGTTTTAAATCAATTTTTGACACATATTATTTAGTTTTCATAAGAAATGTGTTTCTATAGCTGAATTTTGAACTTTTCCTCTCTTCATTTACTATTTTTTGTATGCCAAGTTTTGTTTTGTCTTTCTAATTCTTAGTTTCTTGTCTCTTTATGTTTTACTCTTGATGTTTTCTTTTGCACTCTCTTTTTTGTTTTAAGAAATTAATTTTCTTATTTTCCCATTAAAATTATTTTTCTGTTTATCATATTCTCAGCACATTTCAGGGTTGATTTTAAAAGAACTTTTTACTATTTTTTTATTTTCCACATTTTTTCCACTAGGTATGTTTTTTCCACACAAAAATAAGTCTGTAAATAAATCTTACATACAGCATTTAAGTAAATAGTATTTAATAATTATTATTTTCAAATGGTTTATAGAGAATGGTTTTTTAATATCACCAAGTAAATCCAGTGTGTGTGTGTGTGTGTGTTTTCACCCAACATAATTTACTCAAAATCAAGAAATTAAAACTAAATAGACTTATCTTCCCATTTTATAAATCAATAAAATATCGGGGTATGATTCTAGATAAAAATGAAATTGAATGTTGCATATTGAGTACTTATCTTTTAAAAAAGACATGTAACAAGGCTCTGAACATTTTGAAAGCAATTTTTAAAACCAGGTGAGGTGCTCATGTAAAAACTTCTTTTTTATTCTCTCAGTCATACATCAAATCAATTATTTGCTATGGATCCATACTCTGTGTGTTAGCATGTAGAAGATAATTAGTTTTTTTTTCAAAGTAAAATTCTTACAATAAATTAAGTTACAATATTTTAATATATCTTTTAAACAATTTCTTAGATTCAACAATACCACTGAATCCAAAACCTTAAATAATGGCACTAACTGTGTTTTTATCTTTCTCCAGGACCATAGAAAAATGATTTAAGTTCCACATCTTCTTTATTTTTAGTTCTGGATCTTTAGCTGTTTATGAAGCTTTAACAGATTTCAAATAAACACATGATATCTCACTAGTTAGTCTATTTCATCAACTCTCTGCTTTATTGGCTATTCAGTCTCCCGAGATTCCAGATATTAACTTATTTTTCTAGTAGTTCTGTCTGTTGTCAACTACTTACTTTTCATTGTTCAGCTGTTTAGCAGTGAAATATACACACTATTCCTATTGCATCAAATAGAAAATAGCTATTGCATTAGATATATCATCTCAATGATCTTATGAAGTTTATTTGACTAGAAATTTCTTTTTTAAACATTAATGATATTTGTTTAGTATCACTGAATTTTTAATGGGTTTAAATAGTACTCACTATATAATATCAATGCAAGGAATTAGGTACTTTTAAATACTAAAATATTTCAAATTTTGTAAAGCATTTAATACATTTATCAATATATATATATATATATATATATATATATATATATATATATATATATATATATATATATATATATTGTTTCCAAATTAAAATAAAATTTTGACAAGCAAAAGAGTTAAATTGGTCACCTTGTATACAGTTTTGGTTACTGTAGTTCCATAGTGAGCTTGTGCCCATAACTTCTTATAATATGAACACAGATATTTATTATCTATAAAAATTCTTATCCTAGTTTGATTTTTTCATATTAATTTTCAATTTATCAGATCAGTCAGGCATGTGTGACCCAGAGGAGGTATCCCAGCCAGTCTGGTTGCAATGGATCCTTGAAGCAATCAGGAAGATTAGGTCGCAGAAGCAGAGACCTAGTGTGGAGAGGATCTGTCATGCCATCAGGCAACACCACAACTACCATGAGGATGTGATCGGAGAGCACCTAGAACAGGCTGTAAAGGAGGGTGATGTTCTGAAGGTCTTCAATAAGGGGCAGAGTTCCTACAAGGATCCAGGTAGGTTGGTTTGATTTATATTTACTTTGGTATTATAATTATCGATTTTAGGTGGTATTCAGAGCAAGAACCTGAAAATTGAACCAACCTCTGATCTAACCAAACTGGTAGCCAAAGCTGTAAGGGAATTAGGAGAACGGGATGGATCCTCACTAAAATCCATAGAAAAACATATACGGCAATCTCATATCATTGAAGAAACTCCAGAAAACGATTTGAAAGGTGCAATCAAAGTGGCTATAAAAAGGGCTGTCGGCAGGAACATTGTTATTCAAGATGGAAAGAATTTCAAGTATAGTTATAATCATGCAGCAGGCACGAAAAGGAAGTCAGATGCAGGTAGGAGATCGTCGGGGCAAGATGATGCTTTAGTTCCAAAGGTAAGATTCATAGATATCTCTAAATACATATTCATAAAACAGAAGTTTGTAGTGAGATTTTAGTGCTTGAGCAGAATTCAGTTGAATTAACCACATAATAGTAAAAGTGGAGACATCAACAATGAATCTATATAATAGTTCTATAAATATCCATATTTTATAAATAAATAATCATTATTAGTTCATTGATTGGTTTATTAATATCATTAAAAATAAAATTAGGATACATTATAAAATTTGGATTGACTCTTAATTCAAATGTATTTTAGAAATTATTTTTATTCAAACTATTTTCGGTTGTAGCATAGATTGTACCATACTAATAGATTGCTTGAAAATTATTGTTGTTGCTATTTCAATAAGCGTTTGAGATAAAAGGACCCGTTACCTTAATTCCTAAAAACCATTGTCAGCATCGTTTTTGTTTCTGTTTTTAACGTCAATTGTAAATTGTTTGTGTTGACACAGTAAGTGTATTGCAATGAACATAAGTTCTGCTGTGGCGACAAGAATTATCGCGTCGTTATAAGATGGCCATGGTCAGCGCGAAACTGTGAGAAACGTTGGTGTAAGATTCGAGTGTGCAACGAGTATAACGACGGTATAAAGAGATCAGTCTGTTTACTCGAAGACCTGTTTCAGGTCAAGGCAGAATTATAACAGCTAGAGATGATCGCCTTCTCGTTTATAGTGGTTTGAGAAACCTAACGGTCACGGCAGTTTCTCCTCGAAAGCATCTGCAAGAAGTGAGAAATGTAAACATAAGTATATGGACAGTTAGGAGGCGATTTTATGCTGCTGGTTTATCTTCTCGAACGAGAGTAACTGGACCACCGAACAATTTGCTTGGACAAAACAGAGTTGGAGTCGTCTATTGTTTTCCGATAATCGAGATCCTGTATTACGGGCTCAGATAAAAAACACAGGCAAATGTGTAAGAGTGTGGCGACGTCCAGGCGAGAGTTATGCTCAACCATGTGTTGCCGAGCGACTTACATTTTGTGAATGATCAGTTATGGTATGGGGAGGCATATCGTTTGACGCTCCCACGAAGTTAGCCTTTATCGAGAATTTGATATTGACTGCGTATGGGTGCCTGAGACAAGTTCTAAAAGACCATATTTTACTTTTTATGGCTATTCTTGGAAACAACGCAACGTTTATGCCCCTACACTTCTCGGATAGTTAATGAGTATCTTGACGAGGTTCAAATCACACGATTTGTTTGTCCTGCTCGCGGTTCAGATAACAATCCCATAGAACATGTTTGGAATGAGATGAAGAGATGTTTACGGAGTCATGTGTCAGCCGCTAGAAATTCATTAGAGCTTCGCGACATATTGGTGCCGGAATGGAACAATCTTCAGCAGAATATGATCCAAAATCTGATTCAAAGCTTGCCTCGACGTTTTCAAAATGTTTTCACTATCAGACGAGGAAAGACTGGTTACTTAAGTGCTTAAAATTTCTTTTGTGGCAACAAAGAGCACCAAATTAAAATGGTTCCTTTTCAATATTTTGTATATAAAAGGAAAATTGTTCATTTTCATTACTTTAAATAAACTTTGAATAAGAAAAACTTTGTTTTATTTAAGTAAAACGTTAGTAACAACCGAAAATAGTTAAAAAAGAATAAGAATTTCTAAAATAAATTCAAATACGGAGTGACCATAATGTTATACTCGGCAGTGTATATCAAAAAAACTGTGAAACGCATCTTGGTCCAACTGTTGGTTTCTACAATTTTACATTTCTTTCACGATATGCTTAATATGATTTAAATCTGGTAAATATACTGACCATATTCATCGTTTTCTGTAGATGTATTGGGAATGGTAAATAAAGATGTAGAAGAATTATCAAGGTAGCGTGAAAAGATGGGAATAAATAAATAAAAATAGAACATCTTGAGAAAAGCACATGTAGACGTTTGTTTGATAAAATTGAGCCAGAACAGCGAAAAGGTCATTGAAAATCCTGAATAACATTAACATCTCTTGAATGAACTAGATGTCTTGTAAACAAGGACACAAGAACCAACATAGTCATACAAAAATTACCAAATAATTCGAAATTAAACAATGTTATTTAAAACATTTAACCAAAACACTTGTAAAGAATGCTTGCTGCAGTAATGGTTTTCAACCTACAGTACCTGACCAAATTATTAGGCCAAGCAAGGAAAAATTTACTGCCAAAAAGCCAAAAAATGTACCGAGTATAGTCTACTCAAAATATAATTAGGAGGAGAAAAGTGGCTGTAGCATTTTGCTTGTTAGCCTCACCATTTGAAAAAAAAAGGAAAAAAAATGTTGAATGAAGAAATTATTCGTTAATCGTGTGAACTATTGTGGCACAAATTTGCTCAATGTCAATGGGGAGGATGATTACAGAAACTACCGCAGAACGCTATGTTGGCACTTTTTTCGTACTTCAACATCACATTCAGTAGGTGTTGTTGGGCTGTTTTCTGCGCATTTCGGTTCTCGTATAGTAACAAAAATATAGTGTCTACCACATGGGATATTACTATAAGGGGTAGAAAATTGCTGACAGAAACTATGGGGGTCGAGATAGGGCAAGCAAAACACATCGATACATGTGCGAACGCCACTCAGGGTTTGCTTGGAGAGCTGAGGTCGTGGATAAGTAAATGACACGGGGGTTGTATTGAGGCAACTATAAAATGAAACAAAGGCTCATGAATCTCTTGGGACAAACAAAACAAAAGGAAACGCCTCTAGCAATTTAAAAAGGACGCCGCTTCGAGGTGCCAAATTATGACGATTACAACAACTAGTTGTAACTAGGAAAATAATTATTAGAAATGCAAAACATATCTTTTTCAAATGAAACTCAAAAAGGGTTAGTTAAAAAATAAACAAAAGGTTATGAACAAAAATTAACATTTATTGTGTCTTACCACAAACAGTTACAAAATAGACAATGCAAAAATATTACATCAATAGTCGCAAAATACAAAAATACAAAGAAAAACTTACACGTGTTCTAGCCGTTTACAAATTCTGTTGCTACAAAACTTACAAATGTTACTCAGCTATAAACTAAATTATTAAAAAAAATGTCTATCTTTATTTTAAATTTTAACACAAAAAGTTACCTGGATTTTTCACTAAAACACTTTGAATTTTCTGTAACTGGTAATATAACTGGGGTTGAACTCTGTGGACACGAACAAATTTATCTCCATACTGCCAAAAAGCCTGGGATGACAACCAGGGAGAAACAAAACGAAGATGGAAACGACGATCTTTCCAATCCTCACTTAAAACTTTAACTGAACCATTAACTGCCACAATACATTATAAAAACGAACAAGAAAAAAGAACGAACAACGAAGGCATTACAAATTTGAAGAAAAATTTGAACCCAAGCTAAAATCGACTACCTCTGGTGGCGATCCTAACGAGAATGAGCAATTTTCTTGCCGGCAAAAAACTTGGTATAAACAAAACGCTTACAATGAGAACGGAAACGCAAAGTGTCCTATATCTTCGATCAAGGAATTTGCGTCTGTGTACATAAACAACTTTAAAACTGTTTATTATCGACTCCGTGACGCCAAGACACATTGAAAGAATTCCGTGTTTTAATACGTACGATAGGAACAGAGATACATTAAAAATATTCTTCGATTTTTTAAACATATATGAGGGGATTTCAATTTAATACATATACGAGGGTATCCCAATATATTTCATTATATATTTTAAAGAATTTGCAAATGATACAGTATAGAGCTATTAGCATCCCACAAACAGGGACTATTTGTGTAAATATAAATAAATTCAGAAATTCCTTTACTGTTCATTGCGGAAGGCATGTAATAGGTACCCAAGGTCGGATCATAAGTCTGACTAACTGTCGGAACGTGAATGCCCCGCTTTAGGTAATAAAACTGCTAAAAAATTGAGTAATAACATTTATTTATTAAAAAAGTTTAATTTTTTCAAAGTAGTGATTACAGTAGACTCGCGATTCATAGTGGCTAGAACAATAACACTTGCTAGTGACTGATCTCTTCAGCGCACACGCTTTCATTCGATCTCACTCCCCCAAGCTAATTTAATACATAATTTGTTCTTTTCAATTACTCAACTTGGTTCTCAGATAATCGCGAGTCTACTGTAGTTCAATATTTTGTATGTTCGGCTTTGGCTGCTAAAAGAGCTTGAAGTATACAGGCTTGAATAGTTTCCTAGAAGTGTAGATTATCATTCTATTTCCAGTCAAGATATTTATTTTTGTTTTGTTTTAAATAAGCTGAAATACTCTTCGCCTTGTAGCAAGGGCACCATCGTGCATAAACATGGGTTCCTCTTCTCCAGGAAATCATTCTTGCAGCTGTGGCAAAAGTCTCGTCTCGAGTACTTTCCGGTACTGGTCTTGTCTCATCGTGTTTTCCACCTCGTAGAGGCAGCCCGTACGTTTGCCACATACCACAGACCAGACCATCAGTGACGGTGAACACAATGTATTCGAGCTTCTATTTCTTGTTAGGACGTCTCCGAACAAAGTTCGTTTTTTTTCTGTCAAAACTTGAAAAACGGTTTCGTTCGAGAAGAAGACATAAAATCTACAAAATTTTTAACAAATGCTCATGTTTTATTAATTTTCATATTGATATTCAAGCAAAACAACACAAATATGCATTTTTTCACTATTCCGCTGTCCAGGTTTTGAATTTGTGTGCCCATTCAAAACGTTTCTCTTTCATAGCCGGAGTAAGTCTTGGCTTTCGAGTTGATGTCCTAGTTAGCTGTTTGTTTTCAATGAACTGTTCTTTCTGAAACCGCATTTCTTCATCTTTTATCTCGTGGGTTTTTTTCTGATTTCTAGACAAATATCTCTTATTTTGCGATCAGTCCTAGGAGTAGTTGTCTTCCGCTGTGACCCTTTCGCTTTGGATTCAAACTGACTCAAGACGCAATTTTCTGTTTTATATTCCTTACAGATTTTCTTGATACTCCTACCAATGCTGCTAATTCATTTTCAGACATTTGGCCAGCTTTTCTTCTTCTTCTTAGCCTTCTGTCGTACATGTTTGGACATAGGCCTCTCTCAACTCCTTCCTTCTTTTAGGAATTTATATATCTGATCTACTGTTGTTTGTGACAGATCTGCTTTTCCCTGTCTAAAAATGTATAACACCAATAACTGCACTGCATATGTTTATAATCTAAAAAAAGGGATAAATTACTCACCTCTGTAATAAAATTTCAGGCCAAAACCGTTTTAAAACCCATATGTCTGCACAAATTATATGAAGTTATAAAATGCACACTACTTGAGAGGGCGCAATGCTGGCCAGAAATGGTGGATAGGTCGGTGTTGCCAACGTTAAAATAGTAAAACAATGTTACCATACTATATTAAATGTTGCTAAGCAAAAAAATAACATAAAATAAATAAATAATAATAAAAAATGCAAATTTTCAATGTTTCGCCTAATAATTTGGCTATTGTAGCTCATACGGATACATTTGCCTTCTATATTCAGTGTTTCTTTTTATTTTCCAGACCCCAACACCTCTACCGATATGTTCGGAATGTTTAGGCACTGAAGCGAAAAATAGGAAAGGAGTTTTTGAAAAACTCAGCGCATGTTCCGAATGTGGCGCCATGGTGCATATTTCCTGTACCTCCAGCGAACCGGAACTAACCGCCTTGTTGGCCAAAGGGGGAAAATGGTTCTGCGAAGATTGTAAAGTTTGCGATGGATGCGGTAAGAGAGACAAATATATATATATATATATATATATATATATATATATATATATATATATATATAATATATCGTAAAGTTTGCGATGGATGCGGTAAGAGAGACAATTTATATATATATATATATATATATATATATATATATATATATATATATATATTTAGTTGCCTGTCAATTGTTGCTTGTAGTTCCTACTTTTCAACTAGTACTTGTCACTTATCATTACTTAAAAGGTTTTTGCAAACTTGCTTGTGTTGTTTTTATCTTTTTTATTCATAATGATTATCTGTTTGGCTTTATTTATTTAATATAACTAACTTAAGCAATCATTTAAGTACAAAATACAGTGAAATTTGGATAATTCGAATCTCAAGGGACCGTTAAAAAAATTCGAATTATCCAAAAATTCGAATTAAAAATATATCCACAAAAAACAAAGATGCCCAAGAAAACATCTACAAATGATAAAAATCAACAATAGTTGACCATTTTTATCGTTTGCAGATGTTTACCTTACTATTTTTGGCCAAATTTTGACCGAAACAATCGGCAGATAAAAAATTCCCAGTGAGAACGCATCAGTAAAACACTAAAACATTTTGATGAATAAACAATTAATGAAAATAGACTAATTTTTTCCAAAGAAATCCGAAATTTTTAGCTGCTTTTTGGAATTTAACTTCACGGTAATGACAAACGATTCTAAGATGTTCGTGAACTAAAAATAGAGTGACTTACATCATTTTTACTTTCAAAGTACCGTTTAAGTTGAGTAATATGGTGTGTTGCTTCGGCCGCACTCGGAACATGTATTTCTCCCTCAACTGATGATCAATTATCTTCATCACTCTCTTGTTTTTCATCATTGTCCTTAAGTACTTCAGCGATGTTCTCTATATCGGTTATTTCACCACATACTACAACATCTTCATCCACGTTGACAAATTCTTCATAAGAGATGGCAGCATCAGGAATGATGTCCCCCCAGCAGTTAACTGAAAGCAGCTCTTCTGTTAAATTGTCGTCTGTGTTCTCCTCCTTTTTTTATAAAACCAGCTTTTTTGAAACAGCGTTTGATCATTTCAGGTGTTAATTGGTCCCAAGCTTTCTTACACATTCGAGATGCTTGTAGAATGTCTAACTTTATCTTAAGGGTGTCTCAATCTTCCATCAATATGTTTTCAACCAAAAAACGTCTGTAAAAATGTTTAAAATTTTTTATGACACCCTGGTCCATAGGCTGGAGAACCGAAGTCATGTTAGCAGGAAAAAAAATAACTTTTACATTTTCCATCAGTGGGATAGTAGTGTGTGCCGTACAATTGTCAATAAACAAAATAACTTTTCTTTTTTCTTTTATGAACTTTTTGTCTAATTTTTTTAGCCAGTTCTCGAAAAGATCACTAGTCATCCAAGTTCTTGCGCTGCTCACATATTTCACTGGTTTTGACTTGACGTTCTTAAAACAACGCGGATTAGCCGACTTGCCAATCATCAGTAGAGGCAGTCTTTCCGATCTGTCCATTTTTGCATCGTTTAGGAGAGTTACTCTTTCTTTACTTAGTTTTCCTCCGTGACATTTTTCGGTTTTAAATTCTAGCGTTTTGTCAGGAGTGCATTTAAAAAAGAGACCCGTCTCGTCAACATTAAAGATATCTCTTTCATCTATACCCTGAATCATCTCTTCCAATTTTTTTTCCACTGGTTGGCTTCTTGCTGATTAATGGTCCCACTTTCTCCACAAATGGATTTGAAAGAAATTTTGTTGCGTTCTTTAAAGCCGTCGAGCCACCCTGTACTCGCCTTAAAATTATTTTTCCCCATTTCAATAGTAAATTGTTCAGCTTTGCTTCTTATAAGAGGACCACTCACGGGAATCTTCTTATCCCTAGCTTGTTTGAACCATTTTAAAACACAACTGTCTAAATTTGGATTTTCTGGCTCCCTTAACCTTTTTCGATCTTTACCACACTCATTTTCACTGTTGAGAATTTTTTCTTTATTCTTCAAGGAGGTGGAAAATGTGTGAGGAGGAATTACAAAGTCCTTGGCAATCTCAGATTTTTTCTTCGTCCCCTTTTCTACTTCTCTAATTGCCGCTATTTTTTCCGATAACGTTAAAGTTTTGTATGTTTTCGTATTACCATGCGACATCTTTACTCATTACGAAGTGACTTGACATGATTTGCGGTGGTTGCAATTGCAACGCCACCGCATCTCAACTGAAGAGGCGTGCCAGATGGGGTAGAATTTAGGCGACAGGTACGGGTACAATGTACAATGGCCTTGAATGCCTTGAAACAAGTGGCACGTTAGAACAGAAAAGAATACTACCTCTTTTAGCGGAAATTTCCAGCATGAAATTGGCATTTTTAACTTTAACTAAAAGTTCGAATTATCCAAAATATAATTCGAATTATTCACGACTTTTTACCATTACTTATATAGGAAATGCTAGGGACTAGAATAAAATTCGAATTAAAGAAGATTCCGAATTAACGAAGTTCGAATTAAGCAGGTTCTACCTTAATACTGTTTTACTGTAATAGATAATCTTGGTACATAAACAATACTATAGACGTCTACATACTTGTGCTGTTTTTATTGTTTTTACTATACTGAATGCTTTATTTCCTTGTCTGGATCGAGTAGGAAACTCAATGTAATTATTTTCAGGAAACACCGGTGTGTCCATGTGCCTTTTATGTTGCTGCAGCTGTGAAAGAAACTACCATATGGGCTGTTTGGATCCACCGGCCGAAAAAAAACCAAAGTGCCCCTGGAGGTGCAAACATTGTCTCGGCCACCATGACAATGTAACTCCTAAAAAAGCCGGCAGCGGCGTCCGGAAAAAATTGGATAAGGTCAGAGAAAAAATCAAGGAGAAAAACCAAAAGTAAGTGGTTTATTACAGTGATTTTTTGGAAATTTGTTTTAATGCATGTAGGTACTGTCTTGTATGGAGGCATATATCATTTGATTTAAATTTTTATCGATTTTATTTTGTTTTGTTTGTAAGATTCATGTTTTATTAATACTTTAAGGTCAAAAGAAATGACTCCATCAACACCTAGTGGAACTCCCATCACAGGTAATGACGATGCCGTCAAATCTTCATCTCGTAAAAGCAGAGTACCACCTCTAGATGAAAGCGACAAAAGCGACTTCGAAAATCATTCGGTCTCTAACCAGGTGAAGGTAAAACAGGAGCCGCAAGAGAACGAACAGCTCGAATCATCTCAAAAAATGTCTAAAGAAAAACAAAAGTTTTTTCGGAGCTCTGCGTTTAATTCCGAAAAGAAGAAGGAGGCCAAAGGCAGAAGAGCGGACAAGAAGGTTAAGGTGGAAAAAGAAGAAAGTAACAATAACGAGAAAGCTAAGGCGAAAACGTCAGAAACGGGCAGAGGCAAAAGAAATACCAAAGTTAATAACGAAAAAAGCAACAAAACGGCGGTAGTAGCCGAGAACAAATCAGGTGAGTGTATTTTTTTTGTATGGAATCAGTAGTTAGTAGGAACTTTTGAAAATTATATTTTATTGTTATTTCACGTCAAAAGTGAATAGATGTTGGGAATTGTATAACTAAAAATGAATTAAAAACGTTAATGTAAATTCTTCTATAATTTGCATATTATTACAACTCAGCTCTTGACAAAAATGGAGATATTGCAGATCTCCATTCCCCAAAAAGAAGAAAAAAAAAAAAACGAAATGAATGAATGCAATACATAAACAAAAAAAGGAAAAGAATACGGAAGTAAACATGGAAGAAATGCAAAAAGAAAATATATTAAGACAGTAAGAGAATGAGTCCATTTTTACAATTTTATCCAATTCAAACTCGAGATTTCCCTAAATCTGGGGAAATTTGTTCTCATGTGATCAAATTACTAATTTCTGATTGATTCAAATCGTAATTTTATTACTACTATTAAAAAAAACTAATACTACTGTTATAAACTTTATTACCGTAGCCTTTGGTATTCTATTATAGTATATTACATAACGAGAGTTGTAAGAAGCTTATTACATGCGAGTAAAAAAGTTGCGCGCGAGCCGCTTAGCGGCGAGCGCAGTAATTTTACAAGCATGTCTCTCTCTTCAATCCTGACCCCCCAGGGGGAGTGTAGTGGTCGACGTGATGTCGTATATTGTCCGTCTCCAGAGATCTCTGTCTCTGGTCATTTCTTTTAATTCATGCATAGGTCTTTGGCATATTCCTGTAATTTGATCTATCCATCTTGTTGGGGATCTTCCTCGTGATCTTCGGCCTTCTACCTTTCCTTGTATTATGAGTCTTTCCATGTTTTCTGTGTTTGCTCTCATAACATGCCCAAAATATTTTAATTGTTGGAGATGGACTTTACTAGAGAGTCGTTGGCCAACTTTTAGCTCTCTTAAAATTGAATTATTTGTTCTGCGGTCGGTCCAAGGAATTCGTAACATTCGTCTCCAACAGAACATTTCAGTGGCGTCTATCTTTCTTCTCTCCGATTGTCTCAGAGGCCAAGATTCACATCCGTAGGTCAGTATTGGGAATATTAAGCAGTTGATCAACCTCATCTTTATCGCTCTTGAAATTTGACAGTCCTTCCATATTTTGGTCATTTTTGCTGTGGCAACTTTTGCTAGATCAGATCTACGTTTAATCTCTTCTTGTAATGACCCTGTGTTTGTGATTAATGATCCCAGATATAAGTATGAGCTCACAACCTCGAACCGGTTAATTGTGGTTATGTGTGGATGATTGTTGTGTAGTCTATCCACTATTATGATCTTTGTCTTTGATATGTTTAATTGCAGACCAAATATTTGACTTTCGTTTTCGATCAGTCGTATAAGTTCTATCAGCTCTGCTTGACTATTTGCAAGAAGGGCTGTGTCATCTGCGAAACGTAGGTTGTTTAGTTTATGACCATTTATTGAGATGCCCTTTTCCCATCCTTCAAGTGCTCTTCGCATAATATACTCCCCATATATGTTGAATAATTGTGGAGATAGTATACATCCTTGTTTGACACCCCGTTCTGGATGAAATTCGTTCGAAAGTGTGTCAAGTACTTTAACTGATCCAGTAGTGTGTTCATATAGTTCGGTTATAAGCGTAATTAGATGTTGTGGTACGCCTACTTCTTTTAGTATTCGCCATAAGTGTCTCCACTTGACCCTGTCGAACGCTTTACGGTAATCTATAAAACAGATGTATAGTGGGATGTTGAATTCCCTAGATTTCTCGATTATCTGTCTTATATTCAGCAGGTGTTCTCGAGTACCTCTACCTTTGGTAAATCCAGTTTGCTCTTGTGGAATTTCTCTTTGAAGGAACGTTTTCAGTCTCTCATTGATTATATGTAGCATTATCTTGCTGGCATGGGATATAAGAGAGATAGTTCTATAATTGTCGCATTTATAGAAGCTGCCTTTTTTATGTATGGTCGTTATTGTAGATTTTGTCCAGTCTTCAGGCCATTGTTTGGAATGCCATATTTGGTTACAGAGTAGATGAAGTAACTTTACGCCGGTTTCTTCTGTGGCTTTAAGCATTTCTGCTGTTATCATATCTGGACCTGGTGCTTTGTTATATTTGAGCTTGTTGATAGCCTGTCTTACTTCATTTTCGAGTATATCAGGTTCTTCTTCTACCTCGTCAGAGATTTGGCTAACAAGCTCTTGGCGTTGATCATCTTTATATAGGTCCCTGCAGTACGATCTCCATGTCTCTGCTATGTCTTCTCTGTTTGTTCTCAGGGTTCCAGTGTTATCTTCAATGGCCCAAGTTCTGGCTCTGAAGTCTCTTGTCAGGTAGCGTATTTTTCTAAATAGATCTCTCGGCTGATTATTCTGACCATGTCTCTCAATTTCTTTGCATATACTTTGATAGTACTGTTTTTTGTCGGCCTTACATCTTCGTTTTATTTCTTTATTGAGGTTTCTTAAACTAGTTTTTTCCCTTTCACTATGTACACCACTTTTACAAAGATTTCTTCTATTCTCAATTATTTTAAGAGTTTCATCTGTTATCCAGTGTTTCCGTTTCACCGATTATTTTTCTTTGAGCGATCCACTGGTGTTGTTACGCAATGTTTAACAGTCTCCCATATTTCTTGTGATGTTCCGTTACGAATAGAGGGCATACTTTTCTGTACTTCCTGTAGGTCTTCTTTCTTTCTTAGTTCTATCCTCTTTATCTCTCTTTGTTTGTTGGGTGCTTTAAGTTTAAGCATTACTTTAGCTACGAGGAGAGTATGATCGGATCCGCATATCGCCCCTGGATATGATCTGACTGTTTGAATGGACGATCTCCAGCGAATATTGGTGAGGACGTAATCTATTTGATTTCTAAATCTATCTCCAGGACTTTTCCAGGTATAAAGTCGACGTACATGGTGTTTAAATCGAGTATTCATGATGGAGTAGTTGTTTGTGATAGCAAATTCGATTAAACGGTCTCCTCTTTCGTTTCTCTGCCCTATGCCAAACTTTCCCAGTACCTTACATATTACAAGCATGTAATAAGCTTACAACTCAAGTTGTATACTATACTTTTTCTACGATTATTTTCGTTTATAACAATAAAAATTAAATTACCACTATATTTACACTGACAGATTAATAATTTTTAATCTGTCAAAATAACGTCTGTTAATTCGTTTCCATGGTAACTCGACCAACTGACTTATGAGGCTTATGTGATATTACACATTTTTATAAAACTGAAGCGTAATTTTTTTTATTACGTGCTAGTCATTACGTGTCAGTATCTGTTATGATGCATTTACTTAGCATCCAAATAGTAGGTTATATACAATTTACTAGTAAGAGAGTAGAACAATTATTTAACGGAATTTCTAATTTTATCTTTATCGTTCACGATGTGAAATACGAAAAAAAAACACAAAAAATTAACCTAAATGTCATAAAAACTGGTTTTCTTTGTTCTGCAGTACCAAAGGCTAGTCCAAAGTCTAAAGATAAACAAACGGAAGAAAAAGAAGAAACCGAAGGCGAAGAATCGGAGGAGAGTTCGTCAGAGGACAGCTCCAGCTGTGATTCTTGTTCCGAATCAAATTCGGATTCGTCTGTCGATAATTCGGACTCTAAAACTAGCATGCGGAATATAAAGATTCCTCAGATATTCAATATGAAGCAAGAAAAGTCGAACACGTTCGGTGGCATGGCGGAAGATGAAGATAAACCGTGGGGATTTGCGGGTAAGATATATAAAAAAGAATTTATATTTTTTTTTCACGAAAATTTATATTTTATTAATCGTTTTTGGGGATATGGGGATGTTTACTTTCGGTGTTTTTGTCTCGGTTTTGATTTATTTTCATTTTTTCTCCACTTATTATTTTTCTTTCTTCATTTTTTTCTGTATTTTTTTGCAATTTTTTTTTCTCCCAGCACCTGTTATAATATGAAATAAAATAAATTATGTTTGTTAACTATTCTGCGTCAACAAGCTTTTTCTGTTATTCCTGGTCAATTTTGCCTTTTCTACTTTTTCGTTTTAATCTCATATTGCTTCTTTCCTTTACTTTTTCTGGTCATCTGTCTTCCTTTCGTAGGTTTCCTTAATTTATTCTCTTCGTCTTTCTCATATCTTTTTCATGTTACAATATACTTTTAATCTCTATCGATCTAACTTACTCTATCGATTATTTATATTTTTTTACGTTCTTTCTCACCAGTTCATGTTATTCCTTTTATCTTTTTCCTGTATCTATCTCCCTATTTAGTTTTTATCTTTTATTTCCTCTTTTTCCTCATTAATTTTTCCTGCTCACGTTTCTTTCATCATTCTTCCTTCCGTAGCTTTCTCTAATTTATTCTCTTCTGTCCTTTATATATTTCTTTTTCAAATTTCCCCCCCTTTGTCTGTTACAATATTTTTGTATAAATCATTTCTTCTTTTATGGTAATATTTCTTCCCTTATTGCTTTTATCGTCCATTTATTCATTTCTGTTTCATTTCTTTAATTTATTCTTTTCACCTGTCTTTACGCTTCTTTCTTTAATTTTTTCGCTTTATTTCCTACTTTTTGTATTTATTTCGCAAAATTTCTTTTATTTATTTTACAATATTTTTAACCATTCTGAATGAACTTTTTTTACGTTCGTTCTCATCACTTCTTGTCCTTCCTTTTGTCTTTTTCCTTTCTTCATTTTCATAGTTAGTGGATTTTATTATTTATTTCCCCTTTTTTCTTCATTAATTTTTTTCTTTTTATCCTTTCTTTCGTTTTTTGTTTTATCCTCTTATTCCTTTTATTATATACACCCACCGGCAAAATTAACGGAACACTTTAAAAATGGGACATGTTAGATGTCTTGAATTTCCTAAACCTCTTGTCCGATTTTAATGATTTTTTAGTATGTTATAGTTATATTATTTAAGAATATCGATGTAATAATATTGTTGATAGACAGGTCAATGTCATTTTATACCGGGTGTAACAATCATACTGTGTTTTTTTCTTAAAGTTCGGAACACCCTGTGGAATATTCTAGCATATATAAAATATTGAAATTAAAACTCGAATTATAGCCTCAGGCTTTCCTAACATTTTCTTTTTTGCTTCATTTGCTTGTGTTTGATAATAAAAAAGTTAAGTACGTTAGCAACTAGCCATGTTTTTCATCAATAAATTCTCATTTTCTGCTTAGTTTAACAAACAATCCTAAAGTCGGCTATGAGAAGTTAACAATTTAATACACACACCGGCAAATTTAAAGGAACAAGTTATTAATGCAATATTTCTTTATATTTGTATTTTATTGACTATATCTACATAGCTTTGAATGCTCCTTGTCACAAGAAAGTCTTAAATGTCAAAATGTCAAATTTTGTTTGAAAATAATTTGTTTATTTGTATTGTGTTTTACATTTTACAGTCGTTCTGTTTGTTGATAACAAGTGCAAACTTGTATTCAATTGATAAGTTAATTTGTTTGAGTTTGTTGGATGTGATTTTTATTTTGATTTGTTCTAATTAGTGGTGTTCTTATTGCAAAAAGTAAGTAAAAATGGGTGATTTAATAGCGACTGATATTGCTAGGGCCATAACAATGGTCGAAAATGGTCGAACATACAGGGAAGTTGCTGGAATATTTGGCAAATCACCATCAACCATCCATCGTTGTGTAAGTCGTTGGAGACAAACCGGGGAGCATGTAAGAAGAAGGGGACAAGGTAGAAAACGTTTAACCACGGTTGTAGATGATCGATTTATAACGTTTCAAACATTACGTAGTAGACACAGTTCAAACCAAAAACCTGTTGCAAAATTTTCGTGGAACTACCATAAGTGAGCGCACAGTAAGAATGAGACTTAAAGAAGCCGGTCTCAAGTCATATGTGTCAATAAAAGCTCTCAGACTCCAGAGACACCATCGTTTAGACTACAATTTGGTCGAGTACATCAAAATTGGAATGATAACCACTGGAGTCAAATTCTCTTTACGGACGAGAGCCGTTTCTGTATAAATTACATCGACGGTAGAGAAAGATTGTATCGACGCCAAGGAGAACGAAATGCCCCTGTCAATTTGACTACGACCGTACCTTTTGGTGGAGGTTCAATTATGGTGTGGGGCGGTATATGTTTGGGAGCAAGAACATTCGTATTATGATATTATCTAAACGATATTAACAATATATAGACTAGCGGGAAAATACTCAGATTTTATGGTTGTTCCTTTAAATATGCCGGTGAAACTAAGCAGAAAATGAGCATTTATTGATGAAAAACATGGCTAGTTGTTAACATACCTAACTTTTTTTATTATCAAACACAAGCAAATGAATCAAAAAAGAAAATGTTAAGAAAGCCTGAGGCTATAATTGAGTTTTAATTTCAATATTTTATATATCCTAGAATATTTCACAGGGTTTTCCGAACTTTAGGGAAAAAACACACTATGATTGTTACACCCGGTATAAAATGACACTGACCTGTCTAGCAACAATATTATTACATCGATATTCTTAAATAATATAACTATAACACACAAAAAAATCACTCAAATCGGACAACAGGTTTAGGAAATTCGAGACATCTAACATGACCCATTGTTAAGGTGTTCCGTTAATTTTGGCGGTGAGTGTATTTGTTAACGATTCTTAGAGAAATTCATTTGTTAAATTTTTTGTCATTCGTTTTCATTAATTTTTTTCTTGTCGTCTTTATTGTTTCTTTCTTTTTTCTTTATATTTCTTGTTTCTTTCTATTTGTTACAGTATTTTTTAATTTTTGCCTTTAGTTTTGTATTTTTTATTTCTGAGCTTTCTTATCTTATATTTATTATTTATTTATGATTTAATTTCTTCCTTTATTTCTTTATTTCTTTATTTCTTTATTTATTTCGTAAATTTCTCCCAGTTATTCATTTGACAATATTTTTTTACCGGTGCCTCTTAAATGTTTTTCCTTTCTTTCTCGCCAGTTCTTTCCATTTCTCTTGTGTCTTATCTTTCTTGTCAGTTATTTCTATTCCTTTTGTACTCCTTTGTCGTTTTCTTCTTATTAATTTATCTTTTATTTCCTTGTCTTTGTTATTTCCTTTATTTTTCGCTTAGCGCCTCTTTTCTTGTTTCGTTTTTTATTACTTATTTTTCGCTACCTTTTAGCGGCAGCCGCAGAGGCCAAACAGAAAGAAACCAAACCCGAAGAATCATCGTTGCCCAAAAAGTCTAAGAGCAACGAAAACCTATTCATTGCCGCACTTAAAGAGGAAGGATTGCTTAAGGAGAATACCGTGGTTACTCCCACAAAACAGGACGACGCCTCAGCCGATAAGTACCAGAAAACACCAGGTTTTGGACAATTAAAAGGTTCGTAATTGTTTTAGCATGCATATTGTTTTACCTTTATGATTGAGTATCTAGTGGTAAATAGCAGTCGTCCATCGTCATTTATACGACCCGTTTTACCTATTTGTAGCGTTGGTTTGCATATTGTAGCCCATAATTGTTGTAGGTCTTTTTGATGGTTTGTCCCATTTATTCGCAGCGCCTACAGAAAGCAGGGCTAGCAGGTCTCAGCCCAATTATAATCCTAATAGGAGGAAACCCAAAGATAGCAAGGAAGAGGACGGACAAACGGAAGAAAAGAAACCCGATGATGTACAAGAGGAGAAGAAAGTCGAGGATAAAAAAGCCGCGACTGTAGCGAAAACTTCTCCCAAAGTAAGTGTCCATTTTTTAATTTATTTTATATATTAACGTTTCGTTTTTGTAGCACACTCAAGAAAAGGTGGAACCAAAACTTCAACAAAAAGTGGAGTCTACGAATGATGTCAAGATCGAGCCTAAAGGTGAAATAAAAGTGGACCCCAAAGCAGACGTTTCATTGACTTCGATGACACCGTCTAATTTGGTCAAGACTGCAGTCAACTCGAAGCAGCACGAGAAAAGAAAGTTGATCAAATCTGAAACTGCGGCTCCTGCAACTCCAGAAACACCGCAGAGTAAAGTAAATGCCGAAACGGAACCAAAAAGTATCAAAAAGAGGACCCATAATTTGCTAAATTCGCCAGCTGTCTCTTCGTTCCAAAATAATCCTATAAGTAAGTAATTTTGTATACTATAGCAGTTTTTTTTGGAAAATCTATTCTATGATCCATTTTTATACTTCAAAATAATTTTTTTTACAGTTGACATCAAGAACATCCATTTGGCCCCAGGAGTCACCCAAAAAGACGTCGAGCTGTTCAGGGACACTAGAGAAAAGGCTGCAGCAGCAACGGCAGCTCTATTACCGGTTCCTGCTCCCCCAATCATCGAGCCCCTTCCGAGTCTAACGGTACCGGCAACTCCTAACCTTCCGACCGAAATAAGATGCCCTTCTGCTATCGAATTCGGAAAATACGAAATTCAAACGTGGTATTCCAGCCCGTTTCCCCAAGAGTATGCCAGGTACGTACTTATTTGATTAGTTTCAAAAAAGTTTTTATTTGAGATAATCGTATTATCTTGCACTAAAAAACAAAACAATGTATTAACGCAAACAAATTGATCTACTAAAGAAGAAAACGAAGAATAAATAAGAAGAATGAATAAAAGGAGAAAATAGAGAAGGAATGAACAGAATAAAGAGCAGGAAGAGGCAGAGAGCAAATTAAAAAAAAAGGGACAAGAAGAGCATGAAAATATTTCTACACAAAGAATGTGAAAGAAACAGAAAACTATATAGAAGTAATCAGGAAATGAGAAAATAACAGGGATGGAAAAAGTAGAAGGAAAAAAAGGAATTTTAGTAATTGGGCAGTAAGGCAGAAACAAGAATAGTTAACAAGGGAATAAAAATGCGTATAAGAAAAATGAGGTAAAGAAAAGAACCTGCATAAATGTAAACAAGAAGAATGATGAATTAAGACATATATAAGAAGAAACAGTAGTAATCAGAGAATGACGAGGAAACAGTAACAGAATAAAATAAGAAATAGAAGAAACAAGGAGGAAACCGAGCCTATTTTTTTTAAATAAATAGAATCAGAAAGAAAAAAAGCAAGATAAATAAAATATGAGTAACGAAGAAGTCGAATAGCGAAGTATAATAGAAATAATCATAAAATGGGAAAGAAACATGGGAATACCTGAAAACATAGGAATAATAGGAAGAGAACTACACATTCGATACTAAGAACAGCTCAAGATAGAGAGCAATTTGCTGTAGTTATAGCCAACCTTCAGTAATGGAGAAGGCACCTTAAGAAGAGGAAGTGAAAAGAGCGCACGTGAAAAAAGAAAAGGAGAGCAAGAATAGACGTAAATCAGTAGAATGAAAAAAAAAATGACGAAGAAACAGAAGTAAAATTCAAAAACGAACAGTAGTAGTCAGATAATGAGGAGGAAACAAAAACAGGATAGCCAATATTAGAATCATGAGTGATTGCAACAGAAATAGAAAGAGGTAAACGTCAAAAATGGAGAAAAATAGAAAAACCTTAAATGATTTGGATAAAGAAAATTGAGAAGAAACATAAGCAAGGGAAATAGAAATAGAAGTAATCAGGGAAAGGCGAAGTAGCGGGAACAGTAAAAGCACAAAGAAAAATGGTATTCAGTAATCCGAAAATGAGAAAGAAACATAAGCTGCAAACAGGAGTAATTGAAAGAGAAATCGAAGTGTATATAGGAAAAAATGAAAAAAAAAAAAACAAAGAAAAAGAAAGGACGAATATTATGAATAGATGCAAACAGCACCATGAGAATTACAATGAAGGAGGAACAAAAGAAAAAAGAGAAGTAATAATCAGAGAATTACCAAGAAATAGGAGCAGAAGACTTAATTGTAAAAAAGAAGTAACCAAAACAGGAATAATGAAAAGATGCAGAGAAAAAAGAGGAAACCAGGAAAAGAAACAAGGCATGACTAGAAAAACAAATAGTATGTAAAAAAAGTATAACGGACAGAAAGTGTCAAAGGAGCAGTAGGAGAAGTTGCTAGAGAAACAGTCGTAATAAGAAAATGCCGAGGACAAAGCAAGAACAAAGATAAGTAAAAGGAGGACTAGTAGTAATCAGAAAGAAATGTAAAGAGACAGAGAAAGAAACAGTAGGAAATAAGCTAAGGAAATAGGAGCATGGAAATATTTCACTAATAAGAATGAGGAGAAACCTAAGGAGGGTAAATAGAAGGAGAAACAGGAATTATTAAAGAATTAGAAAAAAAACAAGAACCAGATAAGTAGAAGGAAGAATAGTAGTAATCAGAAAAAGCTGGAAAGGGAGAAGCAGCTGTTACACAAACATTTGCGTAATAGAAAGAGGAATAGAAATAAGCAAAGAAAAATATGGAGAACAAGTAAAAGAAGAGGATCGACAGAATAGAAGCAAAGAAATAGAAAAATGTAGCGAAAAAGGAGGAAAAACGAAAAAGAGGTGAGCATGGGAAGATTTAACCAAAGAAAATGAGGAAGAAACATGAACTATAGAAATAGAAGTATAGCTGGAAATACAGTAGTTTAAAGAGAAACAGAAAGGCTCACAGGGAAATATGGGGAAAAAGTAAAGGAGTGTAGATCATGAATAGATGTAAAATTAAAGTTAGATAATGTAAATTTAAACAAAGGGAAAGGGGAACAGCAAAGAATAAGAACAAGAGGTAGAAGTGCTAATATTATTTTTAAGAATATTATTAAGAATTTCTATTTGATTCGGTGGAATAACGGGTAAAGTAAAGTAAACGTGTATCCTTCTGGCTAAGGTCTAGTGTTAGGGTTTTCAGGTCGTGCAACCGTCCTTAACATGACTTAACTACTTTTACTTTGATGGTATACAAGGCAAATATAGAACACAGTAATTAATTAAATCTTGCCCAAGTACTTTCGATCAATAGATCATCCTCAGGGGCATTTCGTCAGTTGTGGCCTATCCGACATGAGCAGAATGTCATACATGTAAATTTGGTAGCATAATTTGTAATAATGAATGTCATACATTAACTACTTTCGTAGCCGGGACCGACGGCTTGTTAAGCCAGTAACATAGCCACTTAGCTACGATTGCCACTATAATAACGGGTTAGACGTTATAACCAAATTTCTAACATTCTATTTCTTTTTCAGGTTGCCAAAATTGTTTCTGTGCGAATTTTGCCTGAAATATACTAAAAGCAAGGCGGTGTTAGAACGACACCAAGACAAATGCACTTGGAGGCATCCCCCCGCCACCGAAATATACCGTTGTAAAGACCTGTCGGTTTTCGAAGTGGACGGAAACGTCAATAAAATCTACTGTCAAAATCTTTGCCTTTTGGCTAAGCTGTTTTTGGACCATAAAACCTTGTACTACGACGTGGAACCGTTCTTGTTCTATGTGTTGACCAAGAACGATAAGAAGGGGTGTCATTTGGTGGGGTATTTTTCGAAGGAGAAGCACTGTGTGCAGAAGTATAACGTTTCTTGTATAATGACGATGCCGCAGTACCAAAGACAAGGGTTTGGAAGGTTTCTTATAGATTTTAGTAAGTAACACATATTTTTTAATATGCAATTTTTTTATGGTGAATTTTCAAATATTTCAGTGTGTTAGTGAATGAATGTATTTCTTGGTGAAAGAGGATTGTACTAGATTGTTACTATATCGATTGTACAAAATAAACTTTTTATCAATTGATTGATCAAGAAAATATTATTTTTTTCTTAATGTGGCCCTTCTTTTAGTTCTAGAGCCCATCCTGGGCTCGGCGTAACAAATTGGCCAGACTATTTTGTAACGTGTATTCACAGATCTACAATCATAGATCGAGCTAGTAGCGATTGTAAACAAATCATTTCATTGAGTTTTTTTCCTTTTTTTCTATTTTTTGTCTTCTTTTTGTTTAATTATTATCTTAATTTTGTTTTTATATATTTTTAAAATTTTTTGATATATGGTTTATTACAATATTGGTGTATTTTCATCAAATTTGGTCTTAATTCAAGGGTTAGTACATTTTTTTATTTAAATTTTGTATTTATATTTTTTAATTAACTTAAAAATACAATTAGAAGATTTCTGTTACCAGAGAAAATTAATTCATTTAAGTGAAATAAGAAGCAGCCATATAGTTTTCGAAAGTCTTAATAAAAACATGCAATATTTTCCACAGGTACAGTTTGGAGTGTCTGATAGATTCATATTGTGGTGTTTCTTGAAAGTATTAGAGGATGCCTGGACCTTATTCTATTAATAGTTTTTATAATATAAGTCATTCAAAACATCAATTTTCACTGTTAATACTTCCTTAGTTGATTCGCAAGGTTATCAAACCCCAGGTTTCTTAAAATTTGAATGTCTTAGATGAACGAGCAGGGTATGGGATGCTTGAGTCTGAGCAGATGTGACACGTGGACATTTGTGACAGGTGACAGATGTCAGTAGAGAGAGAGAGAGAGAGAAAAAGTGAGACAGGTGGGCAAGTGTGACAGGTAGACAGGTAGGCAAGTGTGACATGAAAGGTGACATGGCAGCAGAGTATGGGTCGGTTGAGTATGATAACATTTTATTGACCGTGGGAAAAAATGGAATCCTTTGATGCTTTGCTGCCAGATGAGACTAGTGAGCAGGTGTGAGAGGTGACATATGACAGCACAGTGTGGGCCGGTTGAGTGTGAGACAAAGCGGAATTTTTTGATGTTTTGCTGTCAGATGAGACAGGTGTGATAGGTGGGCAGTTGTGATGGGTGACAGATGGCAGAAAAGTATAGGTCGATTGAAAAACAGAATTCTTTGATGTTTTATTGTCTAGTGAGATTGGTATAATAGGTGTCGTCTTTAACTCTTTAAATTGTTCTTCTGTTCTATAACAAAATAAACATTGTATCAATTTTAAATTATTACTTTTATAGCTTTATATCAAATTTTTAGGCTATCTTCTCTCCAAAGAAGAAGGCCAACCTGGTACTCCAGAGAAACCGCTCTCAGACTTGGGCAAAGTCTCTTACTACGCTTATTGGAAGTCCGTGATCTTAGAGTATCTTCACGTCCATCGTACCAAACAGTTAAAACTTACGGACATCAGCAAAGAAACTGGAATGTACTGTCAGGATATATCGCTGGCTCTACAACTACTCGGTTTTATAAAATATGTCTCCACAGAGGATGGTACTAATAAATCACTCGTCTGTGTCGACTGGAAAAAAGTTGACGTTCATATGGAGAGGGTACTGCAGTCTAAATCACGAATACCAATCGACTATGAATGTTTGCGATGGACTCCTCTCGTCACACAAACCATAAGCCAGCTCTCAGAACCGAAATTAGACGATAGCCACAATGTTTCTAAAGAAACGGCCGATATAGTAGTACCGATGCCGGAAAAAATCATCATAGAAACACAAACCGGAGTCAAATTGAAACGAGGAAGGAAACGTAAGATATCGACTACTACTCCGAAGGCCCAGAAAGTCCTGAAACAAGAACCAAAGGTGGCGCTGAACAGTTCTTCGACTGAATGCACGGAGAACACAGAAATAGAAATAACTTCATCGGGCAGAAAACGGACGAGACCCAGTAAATTTAACGAAACCACTTTCGGCGACACCAAACCGAAAATACAGGAAGTCAACAACAAGAGGAAGCCCGTGGAGAAGAACACGCCGAGAAAACGGTCCAGGATTGAGCAAAACGTCGAAAAACCGGAAGAAGATGCCGTCAAACCACAAGAACTTTTGAAGACTCCTAGGGGCGCCAATAAGTCAACCAGTACGCCAAAGATTGTCAAGGCCGTCGACAAAGCTGAAATAGAAAAGGTAAGTGATTTAAATTTTAATATTAGTCGAGTGTTTGTCAACTGTAGCTCTCCTGTCGATGAAATTTTCATCAAATCCATGCGTTTTTGTGATTCTTGCATATTTTTTACCACATCTTATCGATTCTAATTTGGCTTTTAAAGATTTCACCATATTTTGTGTAATGGTAATTGTAATTTTGTCGCGCAGTTCCAAAACGGCGACCTTTGGTGTAAAAGATCTGGCTACTTGTTATATTTCGTTTTTTTTTTTTATTAAATTCTGTAAAAAGCATGACACCATGTGAAACCTCTTGTGTCATTCAGGATTTTTCTAGATTCTTATGCGATTGTGTAACGAAGCATAAATGGGGAACATATTTGATATAAAACACCTACTCGTAAACTATTAATGCTACCTGAACTTAAAAAAGGCTTTAGACTAAACATTACATATTTCTAAATAATGGTTTATTAGAATAGAAAAGAATTTATTCAATTTATACGCCGGCTCTTGATCTATTTAATGTTTTTAATAGTTTATTTTCACAAGTAGCCGGCTCTTGGACTAATTGATTTTTTTTAAGTTCCAACCGCTTAAAAAGTGAGCCACGTATTACATGTCAGCGAAAAGTGTTATAAATGTTAAAAAGAGTCCCAAAGCGCAAAAAAAACGTTGAAAAAGTCTTAAAAGCATTGGTCGATTCTGTTTGAACACATTTCGATGTTTTTCCACGCTATCTAGATGTTTTTAATGCACTTCCAACGATTTTAGCTTTTCGACACGTTTTCAACATTTTGACGCTTTTCCAATGATTTTTAGTATTTTTCGGGACGTTGCCGATGTTTTTGACGATTTTTCGACACTTGAAAAGTCAGCAACGTATCAATTACATATCAGCGACATATTAACCACAATTATTTCCATGGTTTTTCCGTTGAACTGTTGCATATGAGAACAACTTAGTCACGGTTACGACGAAATATTTATATTATCGGTTGTTTAGTATGTTATTAGCAACATTTTTTCTATTTCCAGATCGATGAGCCCCAAACTCCAAATGAAATGTCAACCCCCAAACCAAAGAAAAACTCCGCTACCAAAGAACGAGTATTAGGCGAAAGGTGGTCTCAAAGACGCGTCAAAAAGCAGCAAGAACAAAAAGAAAAGGAACATAAGATAAAGGCAGAAGAAACCAAAGTTGAAGTTGCGGAGGAAAAAGAAAAAGAGAAACCTGCGACTGTTTTGGAGGAGACTCCGATAGCTACAGCGCCAACTGAAGTCGTTGAGACGAGTGTCACTACTGAAGCTATCGAAAATACAAGTATATCTACCTCTACACCTCAGAATAAGGCTTCGGCGAAGAGGATGAGGAAAAAGCGCGGTTGGAGTAAAACAAAAGTACGAGGAAAACCCGCAAAACAGTTAACTTTACATGAAATTCTTAAACAAAACATACAAAAAGACAGTGAAAGCGAGTCTTTGGTATCAGAAAAATCGGACGAAGAAGCAGCAAAGAAATCCCCAACTATTCAAGTTACCCCAGAAAAGGAAAAAGTTAAAGCTAGAAAGGATGAAAAGAAAAGAACGTCAAGGATATCGACAGAAGAAGATTCGAGCGCAGAGGCTGACGACGAGATGGAAAACGACGAGTTACCAGTTCAGAAAGAAATTTCTCCATCGAGTAAATTCAAGTATACAAAGACGAGCCCTTCTAAGGAAAAATTGGACACTATACAAAAAAGTTTGTCTAAAACGCCACCCAAAGATGACGATAAAGTGGAAAGCAAAGAAAAAGCAGACTACGTCAAATCACCTTCGTATTCTACAAGTTCTGAATCCGAAATGGAGATTGATGGACAAAAAATCAAGTCGATATCACACAGAGAAGTTCTCCAAAGCGGTTTAATAGTGCCCCATATAAAACAGATAGATCCCAGCGATTTCCAAAGTAGTTCAGTTGAACAAACTGCTTCAATCGATAGCGTTAATGCAGAAATTCTCAAGGAAGACTCCCAACCGGAATCCGGAAGGAAATCTACAGATATGGAGCTTGAAAAGATCGACGAAACTCATAAAAATAATATTATAGTGCCCAAGCAGACAGTTATCATTGACTCAGCAGACGATTCTGTAGAAAGAATGGACACAACTGAAGCCAATGCAGATAATTCAGTCACTGGAATTAAGTTCTTGGAAGACGCACAAAAAATCTTGGAGGCGGTAGAAGAAAATAAAGATGACACAGAAATGAACCCTGTTGTAGAGCAATCTGTTATACAAAACGCTCCCTCGGTGGATATTGTGGAAAATATGGACCACGAAGAGATTTCTACAGAAACTAAAAAACAAAATATGGTGGAAGAGACGCAAAGTAAGGAAGAACAAATAAAGGAAAAAACAGCGGATCCGCCAGTTGAGATACTTTTTCCAGAAAAGTTAGACGAGTTACAATCTCAGAAACCGAAGGAATATCAAGCTCAGCTACCAACAATCGATCCTCAACAAAAAATGTATGAAGTTCAAGCTCAAACTCAACAACCGTTTGAGAGCAACCCAATGAAATCCTGTGATACTGAGAGCCCAAAACCACTAGAACCTCAGAACCAGAAGATCAGTGAGCTCCAAATCCAACGACCGGAAGAAGTATTGCCTCAGACGGAAAAAGAATCAAAATCTCACAATGCCTTGACTCCGCCGTCGAATGAGTTACAAAATCAAAAATTTAAAGATATTCCGCTACAGCAACCATACGAATTCCAACACCAAAAGCCTCTCGAGTTTCCCATTCAAAGACCCAACGATTTTACAACTCCGAAACCTACTGATCCTCCAAATCAGAAGCCTCTTGAGCTTCAAATGCAGCTACCAGAGCCACAACTTCAGAAAGCACTTGATGTTGTAGTTAACAAAAGTATCGAGATGCAAAGATCTTTCGAGATGCAAATGCCAATTCAGCAAGCTCTTGATGGTGTTTTACAGAAGCCTGTCGATGTTCCTTTCCGCAATAATGTATCCTCTGAAGAGTCCAATCCCAGGAAGAATAGCGAATCTGTTATACAGAAGCAGGTGAGTTATCCAGTTGTCTGACCGTTATTAAGCTTTCTGTCAGACCGGAACACTTTTTTAATAATTTTGAAATAAGAATACATTTTTTTAAGTAAAAAATTATGTACACACGGTCTATTTATAAAATTTTTTATACTTTGTTTTAATGTGGACCATGTGTACCATATTGGCTCACACCAGGAAGATAATCAAATATCTTCTCCCTAAGATATTTTAAGTTTAAAAATACAAAAATAATCTATTTTTTTTAAAGAACATGTATGAATATTCACAAAACACTTAACACACATAAATATATGCGGTAGTAACGGCACATGCCGGACAAAAAGTGTAGACCCTTTTAACATTCTTCATCCCTGATGTTCTTCCTTTACGGTTCGAAAAGTTCTTATAACATAATGGACACATTCCCCTTTTCTCTTTCTCATCCAACGGTTGCAGAGTTATATGCAAGTGTTTTCAGAAGTTGTTTGTGGCATTAATACACTTTGAACAATCTGTTCACGGAATAGAGATGTTTGCCGGTAACATATTTGTAGAGAACTAAGGAGTTCACAATTCACAGGTATTTGTTAGTAATTCCACAGTCAATTTACTATACCTCTTTATATTTCGTCGGACAGGTTAATTATATGCAGCCTTTTGATCCGACACATCGATAAAACATTTTGCAGAATTATGGTCAACAATGGTCGTTTAGTTTGAGCATCTATCATCAAAGGAATATCCTTGGTCGTTAAAAACAAAACGTCCCGTTTATCTTTCCATTTTCCGATAACAACTTACGCCCGCCGCACACACATCGAATTTGGACGGTCGATAAAAGTTCGGTCGAACAAATTTCTTTGGTGGCGCGAAGAAACAAATGTGAGCGAGCACACACATCGATCGCCAAATGGCACGGCATCGATGTCGTGTGATGGTCGTGTGGGGATCGATCGATGAATGTCACTGTCATCATTCACGGCTGCCGTGGTTGGTGGTCGTTGCCGTCGTTCCAAGACGTATAGTATCAAATGAACGCGCGCACACACATCGATGTTTCGCCACCAAAGGAATTTGTTCGACCGAACTTTTATCGACCGTCCAAATTCGATTAGTGCGGCGGGCGTTACTCTGTAGATACTTCATGTCACCTCTTTTTAATTTTGAATCGACTACTGCTTTTGGATTATATTTCCTATTGGCACGTAATGTTCCGATTAATTGGGTTGTCCTATTATTTAAATCATGGCCCAAGTTATAGTACTCGTATAAAAATTATCAGTATATAAAGTTCTGCCCCTGTATCTAGAAGCGGTTGCATTTTCATTACGTAAGCAAGTTCCATTACCACTCTGGATGCTAACGACTTTTCAGATGGTTGCAGCTCTTTTCCACCGTACACTTTTTTCGGCGTACGTATATCCATCTTCGACGCAAAGTTTAAACAATTTGACTCCATATTTGTGTCTTTTTCCAGGAATGTATTGTAAAAGACTAAGTCTACCACGAAATGACACCATATTTTCGTCAATACATAACGATTCTCTAGGAGTATAAATTTTCTGAAACTTTTCATTTAGTATTTGTACAAGAGGAGAAATTTTGTAGAGTCTATTTCCAGGTGGGCAGCTCTCGTTATCTGAAATGTGAAAGAAGTGTAATATTAATCTTGTAAAGTAAATTGTAAATCGTAAAAAAAATCCAATAATCTCTGAATTCGGGTTTTCTGTTTAACCCCACCAAAATAATGAGAGCCAAAAATCGAAGCAATTCTTCTCTGTCGATTGGTCTCCAGGTACTCATACATTTACAATACCAGCGATTATTGTTTGTTCGGCGTATTTATTAGTTTCAGTAACCAACAGATCTTGCACTTGACGGTCGATAAACGGTAGGTAGAAATCTATTGGTTTGTGGTCTGTAAGTTTTTCAATTTTTTCCTGATTTATTCCTGAAGTAAAGGATAATTCGAACTTATTGAGATCATCTGGATTTTTCACATCGCTCCATGTTATTTTATTTCTTGATACAACATCGTCAATAACAGCTTCCAGGCTAACGTTTGCAGATTTAGATTTTCTATAAAGCAAAAAAAAGTAAACTGTGCATTCAGAAATTGTGCATTCCTAAATAACTTACCTATCCTCCTTGTATCAGGCTTCTTTTGGTTAGAACGAGGACCTGCAGTAAATTCTTTGCAAATTTGTGTTTGTTTGCAAATTTTAGCTTTTTTTCTACGATACTCATATTCACTACTGCATGAGTCTGAAGAACCATCACCAACATTTTCATTGTACACTGGATCGACATCGGAATCATAAAACGTACTTTCAGGCATACTGATATTGTAACGAAATATTTTGCCTACCACATGGGTATTGCTATGGGGGGTTGAAAATTGGGGATAGAAATTACTGGGGTGGAGATAGGGCAAGCGAGATAAACGAAACTTACACAAAAGGCGCTCAGGGTTTATTTGGAGAGCTGGGGCCATGGATAAGTGAATGACAAGGGAATTGGATTGGGCACCTACAAAAAAATGAAAAAAAGGGGTACTTACATGAATCTCCTGAAAACTACCGTGGAATCACGCTGTTGAATGCGGCATACAAAATAGTGTCCAACGTAATGTATGAAAGACTTAGACCATACGCTGAAAAAATAGTTGGCAAATACCAAGAAGGGACTACGCCAGGGAGACGCTCTATCATGCATATTATTCAACATCATACTTGAAATAATAATAAGAGACACAACAGTTAATACCTGAGGAACAATAATTAATAAAAGCGTGCAAGTACTAGCATTTGCAGATGATGTTGACATAATCGCAAGATCAAGAAGGGAAATGATAGAGGCATTCACTCAAATAGAACGAGCTGCAAAAAATAGTGGTCTTAAAATCAATCAGACAAAAACAAAATATATGCCTGCAAATAAAAACGCACAAATAAGGCAGCTGCCAAATTTAACAATAGGAGAATACAACATTGAGGCGGTAAAAAACTTTACATACTTAGGATCCCTAGTTACGTCTGATAACAACGTTGCAGAGGAAGTGAAGAGGAGAATATTTATTGCCAATAAATGTTACCATGGTTTAATTAGGCAACTAAGATCAGATAACGTCTCCAGAAAAACAAAATGCCAAATATACAAAACCTTAATAAGACCGGTACTCACATACGGTTCAAAAACCTGGACACTCTCTAAAAGGGAGGAAACGTTATTAGCCACCTTTGAAAGAAAAATCTTGCGACACATATATAAGGGCACAAAAGAAAACGGGATTTGGTGGAGAAGGTATAACTTTGAACTATACAACATATACCAGGATTCGGATATCATAACATTCATTAAAATAGGAAGGCTACGTTGGATTGGACATGTGGAAAGAATGGAAGAAGGCGAAATACCAAACAAAATATTCAAACAAGTGCCACTAGGAAAAAGAACAAGAGGAAGACCGAAGCTGAGATACGTAGAACAAATAGAAAATGATATAACAACATTAAAAATTAAAAACTGGAAAAAAAAGCACGAAACAGGTCAGAATGGAGAAGAATCCTTGAACAGGCCAAGACCCAAAAAGGGTTGTCGAGCCTGTGATTAATCTCCTGGTTAAATGGACAAATGGACAAACAAAACAACAAGAAGGACCTCTAGCTATTTAAAATGGACGCCACTTCGATGAAACCTCCTGCTGGATGAAAGAAACTCTTCTTTCCTAAAAAAGAAACACAAAAGGAGTTATAAACTTTTTTAACAAAGGAAATAAACAAATTGGTTAAAGTCGCAATTACGAATGGAATTTGGAATTCTTTTCCTTTACTTCACAATGTTGGGTCTAACACAGATATTCGGCAATATTTTATACTTGGCCCAGGGACGTACTAAAAAATTTTATACTCTGAATGGTAGATAGTTGAAGGAATTTTCTGCATGCTACAATATCACTCTCCTTAGCAATTCTGCGAAGTTCGTCTTCCGATAGTCCTTTACGGAACATTATCTTCTTTTTTTTTTAATTCCACTTTTTAACAAAACACCGAAGAGAAAATAGTCTTAGCCTCGTTAGATATTCGAACCGATACTGACTGAAGTATGTTAGAAATTATAACCTAACCTGTTTGTGAACACGTGGTTTAACGGATCAACCTCTGATTTTGTTTACCACAGACCGTTTACACAAATTTATACATAAGAAAGCACGGCAAATGCGATCCTCGATTAGCCACAGCTTTAGGACCACGACGCTTCGCTGTGGCCTGATAGGTACACACGGTCCCAGATAAAACTAGAGTGTGTCAGTGTGGTACACATGGGGCTTAACGTGTTAAATCACGATTACCGTGTAGGGTTTACATAGAAACAATTTAAATTGCAACTATGACAGATTTTACGTATATACAACTTAAATTACGATAATAAGACAATTAGGGTTAAGACAATATGATAACTATGCGCCACGTACGTCCTGATTATAATTATTTTTTTACGTAACTCACGATTATCATAATTATTACGGAACTTAATATAATAGGATAGTAAAATAGGATAGGAATAATAAAATAGGAACTTAAGTAACGATTATTACAACGATTGTTATGTAATGACAACTTAAGTTACGATTATCGTAACATTTCTTGCATAAAAACAACTGTAGACAGTATTATCACACAATCTGTTTTTATATGAACAACTTATTATTGTTCTGAAGCTATTTTCTTGTGGCATTGTAAATTAATTACTATATACAATATTGGCAATATCATTTTAAAGTCATCTACTTTAAAATGCATAATGTATGTCTGAATTGTCAATATAGATGAGTCAGATAAAATTAAATTATTAGAAGAATTTTTCACTATTTAACAAAAAACAAAATTTGTTTAATTTACTGTTTGTATTTTGAGAACGATTTCCGAAGTGGAAATTGAAACGTCAATAAACGTATTTTTATCTTTAATTGTGGCTTATTCCCAGTTTAATAGTAATTAATGAACAACTTAATTCACCAGTATCATTCATATTGTTACATAGGATAACTTAAGTCACCATTACGTCAAGGTCCCACGGATCTTGGAGTAGCTTCTAGGTAAAGATAGTTCAAGCACTCCTGACCATGGAGCTGCGTGAAGGCGGAGTCAAATTCACGTAAAGGCAGAAAGGTTCTATTGTAAGTGGAATTTACAGTTCATAGTACAATGCCTTTCGCATGGAAGTGGGGACTAAACCAAATTTCGTCTACTGCGCCGTGGTCAGGAGTCCTTGCACGCACTATAACAAACCGTCAAAAATACTTGGGAAACTATGTATAATAGATCTATACTAACTCAAACTCTTCAGATTTGATATTTAAGGTTGTGTAAACAATTGTAATTGTTTAGGTTCGTCCAACTCCGGAGCGCAAACCCACCATTGAGCCAGATTACCAAAAAATCCACCCTAAGCCTCAACAGCCGGAAAAATTTCATCCTCCTTCAGACAATATATTATCTGAGTACAAACACTCCGTTTTGCAGCCATTGCCGGCTCAACCCCATGAGGTAAAACCTCCGGAGAAAGTTTCTCAAAAAGAAATCAAATATTCATCACATCCTGAACCGAAACACTATCCTGTGCACGGCGAACACAAAATTCATGAGCATCAAGACCCCAAGCCAAAGATGGATGTGAAGATATCGCCGAAACCAGAATCTTCCAAATCCGATTCCAGGAAGGACAAGTATGACGAAAAGAGGTATCATCAGAAGTTGCATGAGGAGAAAGCAATGTATGATGCTCAGCCAAAAATGCACATGGACAGTGAGAGTTTATTAGCGAATGCGATGGCCACTGAAAACTATATGACGCAGGCGCAGTATCATTGGCAGTGGGAGAGGATTTGGGGCAAGAATATCTATTATGATAATAAGGTAAGTGATAAGATTACGAAGTAATAGGTGAGATAATACTAGTTCTATTTTTTCTTGGATATTTTTCAGTGTTTGTAGGGTTTCTTTTGCTTATTTGGACCCACTTTTCTGTAATTCTTACGCCCTTTGTTCTATTTGATGTGTTTATTTTTTCCATTACATGCTTTATTTAAACTTTTAAAAAGATTTTTAAATTTCAATCATTTTCATTTTGGATCAAAGCTAATATAAGAAAAAATCAATACTCACTTTATAATTTATTATCTTGACCTATACTAAAACAATTTTTAATTGAAGGTGATTACTTGGCAACATCGTACTTAACGAAGCCCTTAACGATAACTTTTCAACGAAATCATATTCAAATTATCAATTTTGCAGAGGCGTACCAAAAAAAATTTTAATTATTTATTTAAACACGTATAGTAATATATAGTAATTCAACATTAGTCTGATTGATATTTAAACAATATAAAAACAAACCATGTAGGCAAGTCATATATTGAAGTTTTTTCACTCTTTTTGATAGAAAAGTAATTGAGAGCATTCTATATTTCACAAATATTCATGCATCCCAGAATAACCGTCACAATTTTGAAATGAATAACATAGATTTAAAAAAAAAATTATTAGCATTTGTATATTATCTGGTTTACACTCTGCTTCAAGTTGATATGCATTGGTCAAAGGATGAGGATAAAGAAGTGCATATTATAAGAGAAAGCATGAGCCGGCATAGGTTTACAATTTTAATTTATAATAGTGAAGAAACCGCTACATCAGTGTTACTTAGTACATGGACCTCAGTCTAAATTTGCTTTACCAAATGAAACCAGATTCGACAATATTGGCCACATTACAAAAAGAGACGATAGTGCAAAAATGTAGGATGTACAAAAGTAATACTATTTATTTATGTAAAAAGTGTAGAATGCATCTACACCCCGAATGTTTCGAAAATTTTCACCTTAAAATTTAATTTACGATTAAGATACAATATGTTCCTTTGTTAAAAATTGTACTGTTTTCATTGAAAATGAAAAAAAAATCTTTTTGGTTGTAAATTAGTCCTAATTTATGTGTTTTTAATCCAATCTAATAAATTAATTGTAAAATTTCTCTTTGTATATTGAGCGGCCGTTAAGGGCTTAATACTATATAAAGAATAAACTGGCCTCAAATTTACTTTAATTACCTCAAAACTATTTTAAAGTTAATAATAAAGTCTATTTAATAAATATATTCCCAAGAACACACTACGCCTCTGCACATATGTATATAATCTGGAAGGAATAAACTAAGATATCATATTTCTCTAATATATCAAAATATTGATAAGTTTACCGATGTTTCAAACTATTCAATGAACTTCTCTCACTATACACTCGTGAATCGCTCCAATTTATATTGTTACGGGGGCAAATTTTTCTTACATGGGTTACAAATTTACATGGGCGAAGCATACACAATAAAAATGACCCCGGTAAGAGTTTACTAATGAAATTTTTCATGGTTGCCGCTACCGTTTAGTTCAATTTGTAGATTAGTCACCTTTAATTGAAAATTGTCCGACTATAACATTGAAGTTAATATTTATAACAAAATAATTTAAAGTAAGTATTTCACCTCAATGTTTGTTAGTTGTCACTTTATAGATGCCATATCATTTGTCATGTGTCACAATCATTTCTCATTTGTTAACTGTCGTCTATCACTTATAATTCTCGTATCGTTTATCAGATTTAGTATATTTTTATATAAATTCTCTTTTATATAGGCCTATCCTCACCACCCGATGCTTCATCAGTTTGCTCCTTTGGACATGTTACCCAAGCAACCGACCTGCGAGAAAGACAAATCTAAATCCCACAGGTATTCGAGTCAGGGCAGTAGTGGGAGTTCCAGTAGCAAAATGAAGGAGGCGAGCCGAACAAGCGAGTCGAGAGACAAACATTCGTCGCCCAAAAAGGAAGATAAAAAGTTGAAGCATGACCAAGAAACTTTCAGTGCCTCCTCGAAAATTGGTAAGTTGTCAATTTTGACACGTAAATTTATTACTTTTGTAGATTTTTGGATAGTGTAATGGAGAAAAAAAATGTTTGGATGGTGCTAATATAATTTAACGTAGTTGTTGGGATTTTAGCAACTGTGTCAGCCATTTATTTACTATTTTGGTAGAGTTTTTAAAGTTTTTTTTTAACCTTTTATCTCTCTCTCTCTCTATGTCTCTCTTTTATCACTAATTGTGTATTATTACCAAAAATTTCATTACAGAAGAATCTAATAAATCAGTCACTTGTTCCTACAATCAAAGTTTGACCAAACCCGTCACACAATCTGCCTCAGTTGGTACCACTGAAAGAATAGAGTCCAAGTCCAAAGCAGATCGTAAGGAACAGAAATTGGAGGAAGCCGCCCAACAAATCGCCAACCCCATCAAGCAAACTCCGCCCACAGCGACCGCAGCAGCTGAAATTCCATCCATGGGAGTCTACACTCCAGATTCCACGACAAATTCAGTTCACAGTCTACACTACGGACATTGTGAGATGGACGTGACGCAGTTAAACCTCGAATCGCCCGCGTCCATTGCTAGCGATGTTAATTCGCAGAATTCCGTTGAATCTGTGCGGCCTCCGTCTGCCGTGGTTCAGAATCCGCCACAAGCGAGCTATGATTGTTCGGTTCAGCACACCATGCAGCAGAATTTGCAAAGTACAGCGATATCCGCCACAAGGTAAGTACTTTTTATCTATTGATAGCGTGTTAAGACTTACAATTTCAAAATAGGCAGTGGTTGTAGGGGACGTGGCGACACGAAGCTTAAAGCGGCCTTTATATCAGGTACTTTAGCTCATGCCATTGGGCGGATGGGGCTATATGGACCCAATCACTATTCATCATCATTATAATCATCATCAGTAGCTCGACATTTCTTTCTGGGTCCTGGCTTGTTCTAGGATTTTCCGCGTTTCTGTTCTGTTCCTTGCTTTGTTTTTCCAGTTGGTAATCTTAAGTGTTTTCAGATCTTGTTCTACTTGTTCCATGTATCTAAGTTTGGGTCTTCCCTTTGTCCTTCTCCCTACTGGTGTTTGCCCCATATGTTTTGGTGTTTCAGACTCCAACATCCGTTCAACATGGCCTATCCAGCGCAGACGTCCGATCTTTATGGATGTTATTACCTCGGGTTTATTGTATGCTGTGTATAGTTCAAAGTTATATCTTCTGCGTCATATGTCATTTTCCTTCACCCCCTTATATATGTGTCTCAGGATTTTTCGCTCAAACGTACCTAATAGGTTCTCATCGCTTTTCGACAGTGTCCATGTCTCTGTATATTTTGCATTTGGTTTTTCTTGTGTTGTTAGATCTTAGATCTTTAATTAGTCCATTGTATGTTTTATTAGCGATATTCTTCTCTTAACTTCTTCACTGACATTGGATATGTAAAATTTTTCATGCTTTCGATGTTACAGTCTCCAGATTCTGTAGGTTTCTTTGGCCTGTCGATTTACTGTCCTTCATGTATCTAGTTTTTATTTTGTTAATGTTTAGGGCACTGTTTTGTGCCGCTCTTTCTATCGCATTAAATGCTTCTATCATCTCTCTTTCGTTTCTAGCTATGATATCAACATCATTTGCAAATGCCAATATTTGTACACTTTTTGTTATTATTGTTCTTCTGGTGTTGACTTTTGACTCTCTAATTATTTTTTTGTAATGTGATGCTTAGATTAACGAAACCGGTTTCGTTAATCTAAGATGTGATGTTGAATAGAATACAGGATAGAGCATCTCCCTGTCGTAGGTCTCACATGGATTGTATCTGTTAGTGCGTTTTGAATTCGAATTTTGCTTTGCACTTTAAGTGTTTCTTTTACTGTATCAATGAATTGAGTTGAAACATTAAACTCTTTCAGTGCATGGATCAGAAATTCTCGATGGATGCTATCATAGGCACTCTCAAAATCAATGAAAAGATGATGTGTGTCTATATTAAATTCACTAGTTTTTTCCAAGATTTTCCTCAAGACGAAGATCTGATCTATTGTGGACTTCTGCCTGCGGAACCCATATTGATATCCTCTAACTATTTGTTCCGCATATGGTCTCAATCGGTCATACACAATATTTGACAGTATTTTATATGCCACAGGTAGTAGCGTTATTGCCCGGTAGTTTTTACATTGAAGCTGATCTTCCTTTTTATGTCGTGGTATAATTACTCCGGTATTCCAGTCTTGTGGCAGGTGTTGATTATTCAGTATGTTCACTATTAGTTTGTGTATCGGATTCAATAGGGAGTCTCCACCTTCCTTTATTAATTCTGCGCCTGTTGTCTGTTGTCTAATCTAGGCGACTTGTTGTTTTTCAGTCTGGTAACTGCTTCTTGCATTTTAGCTACTGAAGGGGAGGGGGGTTGTTTCTCTGGTATCCGTTTGATCCAGTATAATTCCATCATTATAGTGGATCTTCGTTTTTTCAAAATTGTTCTTTGAAGAATTCTGTCCATCTTTGTAGTATTTCACTCTGTTGAGTTACTATATCTTCTTCTTTGTCTCTGCACATCATTGTTTTTGGTTTAAATTCTTTTCTGCTTTTCTTAAGCTTTTGGTAGAATTTGGTGGTTTCTGATGGTTTATTTAGTTCTTCCATTTCTTGGAGTTCTTTTTCTATGTGTTATCTTTTCTTTCTGTGATGTATTTTTTTCTCTTCCCTCCTTAGCATTCTATATTCCTCCTCTGCCTTTCATGTTCTATGTCGTTGTTGTAGTCGTTGATATGCACTATTTTTCCTCTCTGTTATGTTACGACACTCTTCATCGAACCACTGTCCTTCAGTTGATTTGAGATTTTTTTGTAGACCCAGGGTCTCTTTGACCGCGTCTTGTATGTTTTTACACGCTTCCCATTCTCTGTTTATATCCTCGTGCTTTTGTCTGTTTTCTAGTCTTCTTTTTATTTATTCTTTGTATTTTGCGTTTTTGCTGTTGTCTGCTAAGTTTTTTATTTCATTTTTCAATTTTGGAACCCTTTTCTTTTTTAATGTTTGAGATTCTGGCTCTTATTCTACTTTTCACTAGGTAGTTATCCGAGTCTGCATTTGTCCTTTCTCTGCTGCATACGTTTATTACGTCTGAGTGATGTCTAGAGTCAATACTGATCGACCATGTTTACTATAACACCATCTGGAGATCTCCACGTTCCCTTATGAATATTTTTTCGCTGGAAGCATGTGCTGGCAATGACTATGTTAGGGAAGTTGCTAGATTTATTAGTTTGATGCCATTGTCATTGGGTACCTCATGAAGGCTGTGCTTGCCTATAGTTGGTAGGTATTGTTGCTCTTTTGCTATTTTTGCGTTGAGATCACCATAAATAATTTTGATGTCATTCTTTGGACATGAATGGTATGCAGCTGCTAGTTCTTCATAGAATTTTTCTTTGACATCGTCTTCCTTTTCCTCTGTAGGGGCATGCACATTTAATATGCTATAATTAAAAAATGTTCCCCTTAGTCTCAGGATGCACATTCTAGAGTACATAGCACGAATGTCTCTTACGAGGTGTTTAACCTTCTTATTTACAATGAAACCAGTACCTAGTGCGTGGTCTTTAGTGTCGCAACTATAGAATATAATATGGTATCTTTTGTCAATGGTGCCACTCTCGGTCTATCTCATTTCCTGCAGAGCTGTTATATTTATGTCATATCTATTCAGTTCACCGAGCAGATTTTGGAGGGCTCCCGATCTATATCGGGATTGGATGTTACATGTCGCTATTCTTAAATCATGTACCTTTTTCTCGCGCATTCGTCATCGTTTGATCAGTCCCACGCAATCACTATTATTATCGCTGAAATAGTTCACTTGGGAGAGTCATAGACTGAAGATCTGAAGGTTTCTGGTTGGAGATCCCGCGTTTCGGAAAATATTTTAGTATAAATCTCAGGCAGATACGGCTTTAATGCATCTCAGCTCATTGTCGGTTTTAATTATAACATGACGATAATGTCTCATAGGCTCCAATCCATGTCTCAGGAATTAACATTAATTTTTAACTTGATATATGGTACGATCTATTAATAAGGAAGATACTGCTTTAGTGCCTTTTGGTCATGACGCGATCTTTGATTTTCTCCCGCTCTTATAATAAGAACTATTACAAGAGCTAACTAGTTTAAAAAGAAAAGGCAAGTTATACTGTCCGTACTTGTAAAATCCTCATCCAAAAAGAACTATAAACAAAAAATCATTTTCGTTCTTTACTATTCCGTCGACTAGGCAACGCTGTACCTTCACTGAACATACAGCAGATCAATGACTTATCTTCTAGTAAATTTTTGCACCGGGATAAGAATTTTTTTTCGCCAATAATTTCTTTACTCAGTTTTTACGTAGAAACAACAACCATAAGAAGTCGTGATTATGGCAGCTTTTCTGTATGCCTAACTTTAAATCCGACTATAATCCTGTTGATAATAACTTTAGTGACGATTACGATAAAGATTTTTAAGCAGAAACAACTTAAGTCGCGAGTATCTTACCATTTGTTGCACAAGAATAACTCACAGCAGTCACGATTGTCACAGTTTGTTTGTTATAGGAATAGCTTAAGTTGACATTGCTTGAAAGTTTGTTATATAGGAATAACTAATCTGACACTTATCATACAGTTTGCTGTATTGGAGCAACTTAAGTGACAATTATGACTGTTTTTACATTACAAAGCTGAAGATACGATAATCACACTATGGAGAAGAATCTAAGTCACTATTACCATAAAGATTTTTGAGCATAAACAACGTAAGTCATGAGTATTGTACAATTTCTTGCACAATACTAACTACAGTCATGACTGTCACAGTTTGTTCGCTAGCTTAAGCTTAACTTAAGCTGACATTGTTTGACAGTTTGTTATATAGGAATAACTATTCTAACGCCTATCATACATTTGCTATGTTGGTTTGGAACACTGTGTGATGATTATGACTGATTTTACATTGCACAACTTACGATATAACCATCACACAGTTAAGAACAACTAAGTCACGATTATTATAAGGATTGTTATTTAGGGACAACTTTTTGTTATAAATCACGATTATTATACATTTTGTTACTTAACTAAAACATTTTGTCGTTCGAAAAGAGATGATACTATTAGGAAGCCTAATTGTGAAATAAAAAGTCGATTTTATAATAATGGTGCTATATTATTATCAAAAAGATTTCGATAAAAAATATATTAACTCTAATAAATATTTCGTCAGTCCTACAATGCCACCGCAGACCAACATTCAACTGGCTCAGGCTCAACCTGCCCCTCAGCAGTTACACCAGCATTCGTCAAGCAAACGGCAAACCCAGCAGCAGCGCAACAGAAGCAATACGCCCTCGTCGTCGTCTTCTTCGAGCAAACAGCACATGAGCAGATCGACGCCTCCCAGCGCCACACAATCCACACAACAGAACCGACAACGGGCGACGCCTCCTTGCAATACGCAACAGCTGCAACAGATGCAAGTGAGCCCTACCGCTCAGCATGGCAGCATGCAGCATCAGCACCATAATCCACAACAAGTAAGTCATCATTGTTCAGATAAAATCTACCAAATATTCTTTTTTTCGTTATGTAACGTTTCTTAATTCATTCAAGAATTCATTGAGAAAAATTACGTTAAATTTTTGTTGATTTATACATAACAATGAGAGTAGAGCCGTGTATATATGCTGTGCATTTTTTAGTTACAGTCTCATTTGCATCACCAAGTCGCCGTGCACCAAGGCTATCAGTACCAGCTTGGACCCTCGGCGGTTCACCAGCACCCTCACGTCCACCATCACGCTGTGATAAGCCAAGCAAATTATATACCTTTGGCGGTAACGACTCAAGCGTTTCCGTCTACCAGTACGTGTGTGAATATTTCACCCATGACTACAGTTATTCAACATGGAATGAGTTCTACTCAACAAAACGCAGCTAGTCCGTTAAACTCAGTCGGAGGATCCAACCAGAAGTTAGCTCCAAGTCCTAGTTGTGCCGTGACGACAGGTATGACTTATTTTTACTAAAGCACCGATCAATTTTTACCAAAATGTTTTTATGCAAATAATACAATAACCTTAATGTTAGAAGTAATATTTTTCAAGATGTATGCCGTTAAAATCCTCGTTTCTACCAAGTTATTGGATTTATACACTCTGGGCCAAAATTAACCGGCCACCTTAAAAATGGGTAATTTTTGATTTCTTATATCTCCTCAACCTGTTGTCCGATTTAAGTGATTTTTTTAATATGTTATAGCCTTATTCCTTGACAATATCTTTATAATAATATTGTTGCTAAACAGGTAAATTTTTATTGTATACCGGGTGTACGAATCACACTGTGTTTTTTTCTTAAAGTTTGCATCACCCTGTTAAATATTGTAGCATTTGTAGAATACTGAAAATAAATCGTAACTTTAGCCTCATGCTTTCTCAACATTTTGTTTTTTGATTGATTCGCTTATGTTGGATAATACAAAAGTTAGGTGCTTTAACATATTTTTTTATCAATTTTTATCTCCGCGGAAGAGAAAAGTAATCTTTTTGAAAAAAAGTCATTTGTTACAGTAAAAATCCAATGAATAAAATCTTCGAAGAAAATTCAAATTAACAATATTTTGGAAATCAAAGTCTAATTGAAAAAAAAATTGGGTATCAATAATAGGTGTTGCCGCTTCTCGCGCTTAGGACTTCCTGGAGCCGGTTTGGCAATCCAATCATGATATCCTGGAATCAGATTGGGGGATATTGTCCCACTACTATACCGCAGCTGTCTTCAGCTCTTCAAAGGATGCAGGGCTGGTACTTTTGCTCTTACCCGTCTTTTGGTTGTCCTAGATATGCTCAATTGGGTTAAGATCGGGACTGTGTTCTGGCCATGGTAGAACTTGAATCCCGACCTCATTAAGGTACTCACGGGTAGATCTTTCTGTATGGCAACGTGCATTGTCATGCATTAGTCTGAAGTTATCACCAATGAACAGGGTTGGGCTGTTTTAAAACAAGCTTTTTAAAACAACGTTTTAAAACATGTTTAAAAACACTGAAAAAAAAAAACAGTGGCATTTTAAAACACCGTTTTAAAACATAGTTTTTTTTCGTTATTGTTTATTATTATTTTGTTTATTAACATTTGCTATAAGACATTTGTGTTTGCTAATTTGCAAAATTGCAAACATAGATTATAGAGTAAGTAGGTGCAATAACAATATTAATGCTAAGTAAAAAGTAAAACTCAAAAAAAGTAACTGACTAAACTTTATTTATGTTCAGGTAGCAAGCATACTAGTACTGTTACGACAGTGCTGTAGTAACATTAACTAAACCAATACTCCTAATAAAGTTAAAAGAAAAAGAAAAATAAGAAATTAAGTAAATAATTATTGAATTGCAACAGCATCTATTACACAGTCTTACATCCTGCAACTGATATGTTGCAAATAACAAAAAATAAAAATAACAATGAATGTTCCTTAAAAAAATAAAAACTATAAATATAGAGCTTTTACGGTTAATAATGTAACCTTAAACATTTTTATTTAAATGTTGAAATATTGTTACTAGCTTAGCAGCTTTGTCACTTCCTAACCCATTCCTCAATTTCGAGTGAACTAGACCATATGAAGAAAATAGCCTCTCCACTCCAGCACTGGATGCAACTGCTGAAAATAATTGAGTTGTCAGCTGCAACAACTCCGATGAAATAAACTGTTTTTGAGATAGCCACCATGTTAAAGAACTTAAATTGTCTACTGTATTTTTTGCAAACAAATATTGTTTATTAAATGGCGGTGCTAAGGCACGAAATGACAGTATTTCGGGAATTACATTTGGGTGAAAATCCGAAATAAATAACAATGCTCTATCAACTTCCACCTCAGAGAGTTTCTGACCTAAGTACTGAGGGTCTAATAAATAAGCTAAATAATGCGCATCTGATATAGCCAGTTGAAAACGTGCTTCTGCTTTATGAAGTTCCAACACGTTGCTACAACCGTTAGATTGAGCTTCACTTTCACTTTGGAAATAACCCAGTAAGTCCTTCCAAATGTCTGTTGCATCTGCTATGGTGCAGGTATTTCTCTGGCATTTATCCAAAGCCCATATGTGTGCCAGTTGAGGTTTATGGGAATCCCCTATAGAAATCCAGTGAAGTACGTAATTATTTTAAAACGTTTTTTTTTGTTTTAAAACAGTGTTTTTTGTTTTAAAACAGTATTTTTTTAGATGAAAAAAAAACTGTTTTAAAACAAAAAACATTGTTTTTAAATAAAAAAAACATGTTTTTTGTTGTTTTTTAAAAAAACATTTTTTTGTCCAACCCTGCCAATGAATGGTGCAAAAGGCATGACATGGTCTTGGAGAACTTCTTGCACGTATACTTGGGCATTCACACCGCCTCTACCGAACACAACAAGATCAGTACGCGCTTCGTAAGAAATACCTCCCCAAATCATTATTGATCCTCCTCGGTAAGCCACTGTTTCGGTTATAGCGCATGCAGCAAACCTTTCATTTTGACGCCTATAGACACGTTGGCGTCCATCGGGGACCTTTAAGGGCTATTCTGCTCTCATCTGAGAACAGTATATTCTTCCATTCCGCCATAGTCCAGTTAGCATTTTCTCGCGCAATATAAAGTCTAGCCCTCGGTGTTGTGGGAGTAGTTTTGGTGCGCTAGCTGGACGAAAAGCCCTCAAGTTTATTTCTGGCAGTCTTCTTCCAATCGTTTGTCTACTAATATTAGCGTTTCTAACCTCAAAAAGAGATCTACGAGCTTCAGGAGCGGTGCAAAATCATCGCGAACTGAAGTGCATCGTTTTCGGCCTTGACCTGACCTGCGGTGTCTCCCGAAATCGTCTGATGGCATATTGTACCGTAGTTCTGGGTACATCGAATATACCAGCGATATGACGTTGATTGTAACAGGCATCAACTAAAGCTACTGCCCTAGCAGCATCGGTTGGAACGAGTGGCATTTTTTAAAATCACAAACAATAAATAAGCTCTAAAATTTCAACTTAAACAATATTCGCTCACAGTGATATGAAATTACAATTTTAATTGTTAATTTTAATTACAAATTAAATTTTTAATTACAAATTGTGCAAGAGTTGTTATTAACACACAGAAACATATTTTTGAACAATGTTGTACAACGACTATATGTCAAAAATCCTTCGATGACACAAATTTAGGAAACAAACTGTCACAGGTAATATAAACAAAACAATAATAAAGGTGGTGGAGTTAATTTTGCTGGTGAGTTAAATCGTCTGTATTAATGAAAAACATGGCTAGTTGTTAAACTACCCAACTTTTGTATTATCCAACATAAGCGAATGAATCAAAAAACAAAATGTTGAGAAAACATGAGCATGAGATACACCCGGTATACAATGAAAACTTACCTGTTTAATAAGGTGTAATAATAATAAGACTGTAACATATTAAAAAAATCACTTAAATTGGACAACAGGTTTAGGAGATATAAGACATAAAAAATTACCCATTTTTAGGGTGGCCGGTTAATTTTGGCTTAGAGTGTATTAACATGCGAGTGATTCACAGGTGGTTTTGCGTAACTTTCATTAACCTTTGAACTGTATTATTATTTATTTGAAAATCATAATTTCCATCGAAAAGAAATACAAGTTTTTCTTCGTTGTTCTAACAATAACATGTTTTTGACCCACTTATTTCTGGGTCTTATTTTTTATTGTATAACTTCCTAACTTATCGTTCACTATACTACGATTTTTGTATAATTCAATTTTTTTAAAGTGCATTACACATCTAGACAACCATTTTGTTTCATTTTGTACCGTTTATGAAGTACTTACATAAATATTTTGTTATATTTTTATGTACGCATTTTATTTTACATTGGTCAACAATTTTTACGGTCAAAAGATTCCTAGGTATTTTCTACTAGGACGACTAAAAACTTCTCGTTTGTACATTACATATCTTTTGGTGCTTTTGTGTATTTATGTTCATGTATTTCTGACAGTGATTTTATTTTAAATATTTATTGCTTTCCAGGGACTAACTTTTACATCCAGACCAACCCTCACACACATTCAACGACGCCCTCTCCATCTCAAAGAGGTAATACAGCAGCCGGCCAACCAGCCGCAGCCAACGCAAGTTCAAGCATAGCCAAACTGCAACAACTGACCAACGGTTTGGACATGACTCCTGCTCCGTCGTGCCAGATCATGACGCCCCCTCCCGCTACAATGACATTAACCCCTCCCCCTACGCACTTGCATGCTACCCCTCCTCCCACACACCAAATAGTGCAAAATCAGACTGTGAGAAACTTAACCCCACCCTCCGCGATCCCACCCAATTTGCAGCAGCAGGTATTGGGATATCACAAGTACTACCAAGCGAACATGAACGTCAATCAGCTGAGCAGCACAGTGACGCCGCCTATCGGCCAAAACTTGGGCAGGTCCAGCAGGAACAGTACGAACGTGGCCGCCATGCAGCACATGCAAACCTACAACATGAACAGCTACCCTATGCCTACGCAGCAAACACCCAGCGCTGTGACTAGTTATATAGCTAATACAGGGTTTATTAACAATCAGATTCCGATGCAGATGATGAACATGGCGCAGACGCAGTATCAGGATCCGGCAGCCTTGCAGAGGGCGCAACCCCAAATGTACAGGACTTATATAAACGGGATGTTGCAACCGTTAAATAGTACAATGAGACGTTAAACGTTTTAACCAGTGAATAGTGATCGGATGCATGCGAGATGAATGTATATGTAGAAGAGATATATTGTGTAGACGAGATTGTAAAATGGTTTTTATGGATAGATGATTAAGATAATTGTTGATTTTTAGAACGTCAAAAGATGTAGTTCATAAAATAATAGTAAGTATGACACCTATCTTCATAAATTATAATTACCCAAAGAAAAAGTCTATTTAATCGCATTCTGCACGACTAAAAATTGATTAATCTCGATGAAACAACGTTCAGTTCGACTTTACCTATAGCTCATCCACCAAACAACTCATTGCGAAGACTTTATATACTTTTAAAACTCTTTAAAGGACTGAATGGTTTAAGACTGAATTCGTCATTCCTACAAACTTCGAAAATTATTTTTTACGTACTGATTAAATTATATTTTCTTTTAATAAGTCTTGTGGTTGAGTATAGGCATTTTGGATGAGGAAAATCCACTGATAGTTAAATACGAATACAGAAATGACTAATAAGTTGCAACATTATTGCGTTAGAAGGTGTAATGATGTCTACGCATAAGACAGAAAATCAAATCTATGTTCTTTTATCCTTTTTGATCACTATTTGCAACATAAATCCTGATATTCTTTATTTTATTTTATTACTTTGATTTACAGCTTGATCTGTTGCGCAGGTGTTTTTATAGTCACTGAATTCTTGGAATTAGTAATTAGGAATATACCGGATCGGGTATCTGGCCAATCCAGCCGCAACTGTAATTCCTACCGCTAACCGGACCGGACTTCGCAGATCTCTAGCTATACCAAAATATTTATAAAACTGGCAGCGACAGCGATTTCAATTCAGTCTGTTGCTTTTCCTGCAGTAAACAGGGCAATCCCCACTCAATTCTGGGGTGGGAATTCTTTCAGATTTTTAAAATTTTCCAAGTTCCGGCCGGATCATGATGCTGCACGTCGTTACATACAAAGTACACAATCTATACAATATCTGATTAATACTCATTTTTTCACAGTTTTCATAAACATAAGCTCAATGTTTTCAAATCCATATGTTTGTTTTACTCTTACTTCAGCTTAATATGTTGGACAGGTGCTTCTAGTCACTAAATTGGAAATGCATGATTTTTAAGCGCGCTTGTTACATATTTTCAAGAGGCGCTTCTATATCAGTGGCGTATCTTTTGATTTCCATCTGTTAATTAAATTTGATATGTTGTGCCAGGTGCTTCTTATTCTTCAGGTTCCTTCTCCTATCAGAAGTTGGAAATCGTCATCGCTATTTTAATTTTATTCGCCGCACTTCAGAATAATTCTAATGAGCTTCAATCATTACTGAAATTTGAGAACCACTCTCTCAAATTTCTTAGCCAGGATATTTTGCGTCGTCCTGGGTTTCTCTTCCCTTGTATCTTCCCTTGCATACTTAACCTAAGTAATACGTACTTCTCGCCCCTCATTATATGACCCAGATATTGAATCTTTCTAATTTTAACAGTTTTTATGACTTCACATTCTTTCTTCGTTCTTTGTAACACCTCTATATTAGTTACTTTTTCAGTCCACGATATTCCGTGGATTCTCCTGTAGCACCACATCTCAAAGGAGTTTAATTTTTTGATTTCAGACTGTTTTATTGTCCACGCTTCCATGCCATATTGTAAAGTAGAAATAACGTAACAACGTAGCATTCTTGTGCGGATCTCTAGATTAAGGTTACGGTTGCAAAGTAACTTCTTCAATTTTATGAACGTGTTTCTTGCCATTTCTATTCTGGATCTGATTTCTTTTGTTTGATCTACATCTTCAGTTAGCCACGTTCCTAAATATTTATATGTTGTTACTCTTTCGATCGTTGTATTATTGATGATCAGGTTATCTACATTTTGTGTTTTTTTTGAGAATGTCATTGATTTCGTTTCGTTTTGTTTTCTTGAGATTCATTTTCAGTCCGTACTTTTCACATACATTGTATACATGTTGTATTATGTACTGTAGATCTTTCATGTCACTTGCAAATATGACCGTATCTTCCGCATATTTAATATTAATATTATTTCCGTTGACCAAAATGCCTTCCACAATATCCAATAAAGCTTCTTGAAACATCACTTCACTGTAGACGTTGAATAAGAGTGGTGAAAGTATACTCTAAAGTATACTTACTTCCTTTGTCAGTTCTCCTTCGATTCTTATTCTTGCTTTCTGATTTTGATACAGATTCGATATAATTTGTAGATCTCTACTATCTATGTTTTTGGTCTTAAGAATACTTAAAAGCTTTTCATGTTGAACTCTGTCAAAAGTTTTTTAAAATCTATGAAGCAAGCATATATGTCCTGATTCATATCCAGAAGTCGTTGTGTCAGAACATTGACTCCGAATAATGCTTCTGTAGCTTCCCTAGACCCTTTCTAAAACCCATCTTTGAATCAGTTATTTCTTGTTATAATTTCATGTGGATTCTGTTATGTATGATTTTAAGGAAAGTTTTCAATGTGTGGCTCATTAATGCAATTGTCCGAAAGTCATTGCAATCTTTAGCATTTGTGATATTTGGAATCGTTACAAAAGTTGAGGGAAGCCATTCTTTGGGTATGTGTCCCGTCTTGTATATGGAGTTAAAAAGGTCTACCAAGCCATCAATATTATCTTCAATAGTTCAATTGGTATTTTATCGGGTCCTGAAGCTTTGTGTTTTATGGCATAAATAACTTCCTCTTTCATTATTTCTGGTCCCGTGGTTTCTCCGTCAACTTCTACTTGTTCTACTTTTTGGTCATAAAATAGGTGTTCAATGTATTCTTTCCATCTACGTAATTTGTCTTGCGTTTCAGTTATAGTGGTACCATCTGCATTGGCGCTTCCATAGTCTTCGAATTACAAGATCGTGGCTTTAATGCTCGTTCGTGATCACATTTCCAAGAGGTGTGTCTAGATCAGTGGCATTCGTGAATTTGCCATGTCGTTACATACAAAGTACAAAATGTATACAATATCTTTGACTAATACCTACTTACAGTTTTCACATCCATTCACAATTTGCTTTAATAACTTTGATTTACAGCTTTTACTTCAGGTTAATATGTTGCTCAAGTGATTCTAATCACTGAATTCGAAATGCGTGGTCTTGATGCGCGCCCATTACATATTTCCAAGAGGCGTATCTATATCAGTGGCGTAATTTTTATATCCAACTCTTATTTCTACTTAATATGTTGCGCAGTTAAGTAAATATAGTTACCAAATCCTAAGGGTGTGATTTCAATGCGCGCGTGATTATATTTCCAAGAGGCGTGTCTATAGCAGTGGCGTTCGTGAATTTGCTACGTCGTGTCGTTACGTACTAAATTTAGACAATATTTTTAATACAATTTGCCCAATGATGAGCTTCAATTTTTATCAACTATAACTTTTATAACGCTAGATAAATAAAAAAATACAATGAATAAAATCTGTAGATATTTGAATGGAACGACTACCTACACTTTATATCTCTTAAAATATAAGTTGTATTTGATACATTAAACAATATTTAACGTGTTGGGTTGCCAGTCTTTGAGTTTTTCGTGGTAAACCAGCTGTTTTGTTAAATTTAAACTTTACAGAGAAGCTGCAACTCTTCTATCGGTTGCTATTCTTGTGCATGAGTCGTAAACATTTCGAATGGTCTCTATTAATAATTATTCGATCTATATTAGTGCAATATTGCGTGTTATAATTTTTTTGCATGCACACATTAAAGTTTATCGTTTTCTCCACTTTCGTGTACCCTTTTATCAACATTTATAGTAATGTGGAGGATTTCACTTCCAAAACTTTTCATTTTACATTAGAACTTAAAGATTGGCCCTTAACAAGTGATTTTATACTTAATATATTAATAAAACAAAAAGTATTGCCTTACAGTTATCATGTTATGTTATATTCTATTAAATATATAGGGCTGTGCTGGCTTTAGGATCTATTTATTTACATATTTTACATTTTTCTTATTTTAACAGTTCTGTGTTGGTACTTTTTTTTATTTACAGTGGTTAATGTTCGGGTTTAGATCGTAAAGGGTCAATCAAGAGTCAATATCCTGTATATATTTCAATGTGAATGTGTTTATTAGTTATCAATGCAATTACCAAGCATTGTTTCGTGTGTTTGGCCTTTCAGTAGCTATATTACTTAAGTTTTTGTGAATTAAAAAGAATCCAATACATTTTTTCCTTAGTGAAAAAATTTAATGCAAAATATTCACCAAACGGAAACTAATGATGTTGGTGATGGAAATTCCAGTAAAAGTTGTGTCAATTATGCGCAGAAACTTTTTACATGTCAAATATGTTGTATATGTGTACAGCATTATTAGTCACACCTCCATTAGGGATAGTTGACCAATGAGTTAATGTTTTCTTGTCCCTCTGTTGGTTTTTTGTGCATTAGTCACTTAAAAACCTTACAAATTATTTATGAGTTTTCTGTCTTTGGCGAAAATTATTTAAAACAGATCACATTAAAGCCTCAAAGACAAATAAATAAAAGTAATTAAAGCTAGTTTGTTTTTTCTCCTTGTCTTATTATCCCAGATTTAGCCATACTGCTCACACTCCCTCTAAGGGGAAAATTCACTCATCTCAGATACCTACGGTATCAAAAGGATTGAGTTCTGGTGGGACTCTTTCCGTGTTATCGAGCCCTAAGTGACTTGGGATGTTAGAGTATCTTCCAAAAATTTTCGTACACATTTGGACGTCGCGAGGAGTAAAGCTTTCTACATGGCCTTATATTGATGTTCATTTAAAAGCAGCTGTTTTATGTTCTCTAGGACGTTTTTAAGAATAACACAAGTAATAGAGAGAATAATAGGTACTGTCTGGGTACTTTCCACTCTCCGTTGTTTCATGATTTGTATTTTTTAGATCTCTGTACTTGGCGATCTTTTCGTTGTATTTAACACGTAAATTATTGGTCTTGGGTATCACCACATCAATAAGTGTTGTTGGTCTAGTAAGTTTATTAACTAGTATGAGATCCGGTCTATTATGCGTCACTGGTTGGTCTGTACGCACAGTGCGGTCCCAGTAGAGCTTGTAGTTGTCATTTTCAAGCATTCTGTCAGAGACGTATTGTTAATAAGGAAGATGGTTGGTTTCGAGAAGTCCCAGTTTGTCAGCTAGTTCTTGGTGGATAATCGTTGCTACTGAGTCATTCCGTTGTTTCTAATCAGTTTATGCGCATTTCTTGTTCCCTTAGTTAAGCGGCATTGTATCATTTACTGCTCACATTGCTCGATGTAAAGTTGATGTCTCAGTCTGTACCTGAAAATAAGTTCTTAAATTTGCAATTTGTTTACCCAATTGCTCACCTATATCCATAAGTCCTCTTACCCATTGATGCCGCGGCAATTTTATTCTCTCTACTGCACTGCATGGATGATGTTTTTGCATCTTTGTGAGACGTTTTCTTACTCTATATCCATTTTTGACCACTTTTGACCACTTTCTCGACCGTATTCCACAAAATACAAAAAACACGTTTTAGTTCTGAAAAAAGGATTCAGAACTTTGGTTATTTTGATATTCTTCTGACAAATCTCGTTCATATTCCCCACAACACAATATAGAAACGACCCTTTTGTTGTGAAAATATCTTATGTTGCATTGTATTTGTGATGTTGGTACAATTCTTTATAAAACAAACCAAAAACTACTCTTTAGTGTGAAAAATATCTTAAGTTTTATTAACTTTTGTGATCGTCACGTACTTTTGACATATAATATCAAATTACTCTAATACACAACACAAAAATGACTCCTTAATATTGAAAATGCCTCAAATAACATTGACTCATTTTGGCTCACTTTCCATATGCTTGAAAGAGCTTTAAAATGTGTTGATTGTTCTGCTCTTGACGTATTTTCTATTTGACAGTTGACGTCACAGACGTTACTTAAAATTGAGGTGTCTAATAATACTACCAAGTTAATATACTATTCTACGTCGAACTGACACTACTTTACTAATCGTTAAACTCATTTTGCTAAATTTTAAAACAATTGATTGACTTTTTTCGAACAATATCCTTTTATGTATATATGTACTTTTCGTTTGTAAAGACAGGTTTGAGAATATTTTTAAGGCTAGTTTTTTATTGTACATATATACCACTTACAGGTGACCCGTTGTGTGTACAATTTCATAGTTGAAATTAATTTTTAACATGTACATAATGCATTGAAAATTATGTAATACCCCATATCGAGGTAGGTAACAGGTTTAATATAATTAAATGATCAATAATTTACCTATTTTCACGTACGTGCCTTGTATCTTTCTTGAGGAATGTGGAATAATGTAAACTTGAAATATTCACTTTCAAAAATTGTTTCACGGTTAGTTTTTGTTTTACGTTACGACGTTCCTGTTGATATTGACGTTTGACATTGACATTGACATTGAGATTTACATTTGGTGAGTATAAACATAATGTGTTATGTTATATTTAATGACAACCGCAATTTCAGTTGAAAATACGTTTATTTTGACGTTTTGATTTCCATTTTCCTATTTTGAGAGTGATTGAAGTGGAAATCGAAACGTTGTTATAAAAACTGAAATTGTGCTTAATTCCCATTAACTACAGTAAGTAACACAAAAATACTACAAGAAAATAGCGTCAGAATCATACAAATATAACGATTTGTTAACGTTAATGGTAAAGTCTTTTTTGTTTTATATTTTATTGCAAAATTTGTTAATACTTAAATTTTCTTTTATTTATCGTCTTTTAAACTAAAAAATCTGCGTATTTGTTCATTTTGCATTCAATAATTTTTCTCTCTTTATCTCTTTTTACTATAAATAAAGACTTTAATTATAAATTAGGCCTTAAAAATATTTGACTTTTGATGTTGATGTTCGACTTTAAGTGGACGTGTAACGTATACATTTGAAGTTTGACATTGACTTTGGGCGTCGATATTGGACCGTCGCGTCGATATAGTAAAAAAATATTGAAATAAAGTTGGCGTTTTATCGTTTTTACATTTTTTCCTAATGTATCAATAATTTCTCCTATTTGTTGTTTGTAGATTTTTTTAATGTTTTTATCTGAAAGCTGAACAACGGGCCATCCCTGTAGTCATCGTACCTATAGAAGTATATAAAGAAATTAAAACAAAACATATTTTGTACAGTTTGTCCATAGGAAAAATGAATATAACTTTAGATTTATTTTTGTTTATACTTTGTTGTTGTATTTATTTTAATCTTGTCTTTGATGTAGGATAAAGTTTAATAAAGATTTTACATAGAGTTAAGAATAATTGTTTTTTATCACGTTTTATCACTTTTTGTATAGCACTGTGATTAGGATTTTGTTTTACAGATGTCTTTCCTATTATCCGATGGAATTATTGTACATTTTTAGTTTGTGAGATGAACATTAAACAGAATATTAGTTTTTAAAATTGGCGTTGATTTATTTAATTTTTTCTATGAGTTCGTTAGACGTCATGAATGGGAAATTTACGTTGCTGTAGAAGTACAGAGCCGTTACAGCTAATTTCAAATCGAGTAGCGAGCCCTTCCATAAAATAGTTAATCGGGCAAACAATAGAATAGCTATGATCAGACCCATGCAGGGGCGTTGCAATATCAAACCAATTAAATTATTTGAAATCGTACTAATTACAAAATTATTACTTATTTAAATAATAAATGGAGTTTGATTGTACACAGATTGTTTTATAGATACCAAACTTTTTGTTTGTTATAATACCATCTTTAATAATTCATACTCATAAAGTTTGGTAAAGTTAATTTCTAATTTAGTACCAGTTACCTTAAAACCGTAATTATAAAGTCATTAATGATTCTCTAACGTTAGGGGCACACAAAGAAGTGATAAGAATTTTTTCCGATAATTTCTAGTCACTGAACTTCAAACGAGTTCGTAATTTAGTCTCATTATGTTGTCGAGTCTCAACAAGAAAGGTGCTACCACGCGTATTAGAACTATTTTGTAGAATGGAGATGGTTAAGTGTAGTACGAGTAAACATCAGATTGACACCAGAATTCAAAGGAATAGTTTACAATGTATTTAAATATATGCCAATACTATTTTCTGAAGATAATCGAACCAGTATTAAACAACGTGTAAGTGAAGCTACTGGAGTATCTTTACGTACAGTAGAAAGCGAGTATGTTAACAAACGCAGAGGCAAATAATACACTAACATTTTCAGCTACAACACTTGCTAAAAGGAAAGCAACAGTGACAGACTTAAGCGAGTATAACAAATAGTTCATTACAAATACCATTCATTGTTTTCATGAGACTGAACGTTGTCGTGTATGTTGATGAAACCTATGTACATGCAGAACACACTACGCCAAATAGCTGGACAGATGACAGTGGCAAAGGATTGTTTAAAAACATTTCCAAATGAAGTAAGTTGGTTATCGTACATGGTGGTGGGGAGATGGGTTTCATACAGAATGCCTTTTGATTTTTTAAGTAAGGAGCTAAGACAAGAGATTATCATGATGACATTAATTCAGAAAATTATGAAAGAACAGTTAATCCAAAATTTGCCTGTTGGATCTGTTGTTCTTACTGATAATGCCTCATATCATAATGTACAAATTAATAAAGCACCCACCAGTAATTGTAAAAAAATGGATATGATACGTTGGTTGACAGAAAAAAATTTACCATTTGTAACGTCAATGTTAAAACCGCAATTGTATGAAATCATCAAACGACACAAACAAGATATAAATTTTAAATATAAATTTGACAAAGTGCTGCAAGAATATAGACATGTTTCTTTAAAACATCCAGACTTGAACCCTATAGAAATGGTTTGGGCGCAAATAAAAAATGAAGTTGCAAACAAAACGTTTTTTTTAAGTTAAAAGACGTAAAAGTGTTGGTGGAACAGGAATTTGCTAGAGTAACTGTAGATTACTGGAAGAAAGTGTGTGAACATATTATCAAGGTTGAAGATAAGTATTTGAAAAGTGAACGTCGCATAGATGTAATTACTAAATAATTAAGGATTGATTTAAATGGTTCTATTGATGAGGACAGTGCATCTGATTATGATATAGAATAATATAATTTAACATTGCAATGTAACCTATGTGAATATAAGTTTTCCAAACTGTCCTGTATGTATCTATTATTTTTTACTTTGTTACAATCATTTCGTATATTCTTCTATTTAACTTTGTAACGAAGATATTTTTGCCTACAACATGGGGTATTAATACAAGGGGTAGAAAATTGGGGACTAAAACTAAGGTGGTGGAGATAAGGCAAGCAAAATAATCGCTACTTGTGCGAGCGGCACTCAGGGTTGTTAGGAGAGCTGGGGTCGTGGATAAGTAAAAGATAAGGGGTGGATTGGAGAATTACAAAAATATGAAACAAAAGGTCATGAATCTCTTGGAACAAAACAAGCAAAAAGAAACAAGAATCACCTCAAGTAATTTAATATAGCGCCACTTTGAGGTGCCTAATTATACCTATTACAATAACTAGTTTTAACTAGGGAAATAATTATAAAACATCAAAAACATATCTTTTTCAAATAAAACTCAAAAAAGGAGTTAGTTAAAAAATAAATAAAATGTTAAGATAACAAAATTTAACATTTATTGTGTCTTACCACAAACAGTTATAAAAATAATGGCACAAATTTACAAATAGATCAATAGTTACAGAGAACAAGAATAACAAAAAAACTTAAATGTGTCCTAGCAGTTTACAAACTCTGTTGCTACAAAACTTACAAAATTGAATGGAGGTTAACCTTTTTAAACAAAATAAATAAAATCAAAATAATAAAGCGAGCTGTCTTATGTTAACATTAAAGTTTAAATCTACTAATAATTAAAAATAAATTTACAATATTTAACATTACTACCTTTAAATTTTAAAGAAAGCAATTATTGTTTACAAAAAGTCTGTCTTTACTTAAAAACTTGAAACAAAAGTTTCCTTAATTCACCAAATCACACTTTGAATGATCTGGAACCATATCTGCTACTAACTGGACCACATTCCACAAAGAGGGGCCAAAAACGGAAACTACAAATTCGAAAGTGAATTTGGATCCATCCTGAGTCGGTGACCTGAGCCTACCTCGACCAAGTAAGAATGACGAAATTCTCTTAAGAAATCGTTGGCTTAACTTGAAAATAAACAAACGCTGAAATAACAAAACACAACGAAAATTAAAAAGTAAAAGAATCCATTTCCACGACATATAAAAATTATAAGGTGACTTCGAATAAAACATTAAAATAAATACCGAGGAAGTAACTTCTGTAAAATATAAACAAACTTTAAAATGGTTTTTATTATTTGGCGACGCTGAAAAGAACGAAATATTTGGGTTTCAAATTGAACGATACGAACGAAAGATACATTAAAATATTTTTCAAACATTTATGAGGGGATTTCAATATATTACATATACGAGGGGATTTCAATATACACAAAAAAAAATCAATGAATTTCAAATGCTACAATACCCCCACGTAAGAACGAAAACTGGACAAACAGGAAAAGGTTTCGTTTAGAGCAAACAACAATCAAGTTGGCACAACAGTAGCATTTTCTAACTACTGCAACAATACATAATAACTTCAATAACTCAAACAAAACAAAAAAACAACAAACAAAATCATAATCAAAAAATACTCATAATAACTGTCTATGGTACTAACATAATAACATAAAAAATAAAACTGGATGCTCGATTTGACGAATCGGCACCAGGTACAGTTCGTTGGCTCTTAAGCACAACGACCAATGGCAGATTTCTACAAAAATGGCTCTTGCCTAACCAAAAACGTGGAACAGACCAATGTTGAAGTTTCTGGGAGCGAAAAGAGAGGTGCTTCCAGCTCAACAAAGGCGGGTGGCCAACAACATACTTTAGACAAGCTTCCCTATGGTTATCCACTATGTAGATAACCAAAATAGCATCAAACAATAATAACACAGTTGACTGCGACAGTCAACCCAATGAATTTCCAACCACTGGTTGAAAATCAAACTACACAAACAAAAGAAAACAGGATGGAAATAGTTCCATAGGAATATCTTCTGGGATCGATCAAAGCGAAAAATTTCCAAGTCAGGAAACTACCAAAAGGACAAAAGAAGAAAATAAATCCAAAATGCTTATACACAATCTTGGAAAAGAAGAAGAAAAGGGGCACATGGCATACAAGCCATAACTGATACACAATCAGTTCAGTCTCAAACTAATACTTCCAAAAGAAACAAAAAAAAATCGTAACAGTCTTCCAATGAAAACAAAAAAGTTACGACAACACTTCAAAAGAAACAAAAACCTCATTACAAATCTCCAAGGGGACAGAAGAATCACTATAATCTTCCAAAAGAACAAAAAAATCATTACAGTCCGTCAACAATAATCACACTTTCTAACTGGATACACCAATTTCAAACTTCAGGGCAATAAGGGTAAAGAAGAAGAATAAATATACACAAGGCAAAAACTAATGCTTATCTTCCTTAAAAGCTCACCAGGTCATCTGGCGGACAAATCCAAAACTCATCGTCCTAGCCGTTCCTCTCATGACAACTAATAAGGTCAAAGACATAGTTTGGGAAGGGAATAAAAGGGCAACATCAAGAAATAAACTTCATCATTTCACGGATAATAATCGAATACAACATCGTCATACAAATCAGAAAGAAACGTTCACTATTCTTCAACAAAACTCGAACAGGGTCACAACAATATAAGAATGGGGAATTCTTGTGGGTCATTCAACGGTAGTACTAGAAATACTTCAGATGTTTCACTAACATGGTCTCACAATCGACATAAACAATATTTTCACGATAAACGGCGGCCAGGTACTTTCACCTCAGCAAATCAAAACGTCACAATGGACAATGCAAGTATTTGTATCTCCGCTTCTGCCAAATCATAAACACTACATCACAAACACTACAACAAGAAGAAATGCTATTGAGACTAAGACTCCAATCACAAGTTCAAGTACCACCGGTAGACTGAATGAGCCCTGTAGTGCCAGTACGTCGGCCCGTTCATTACATTCCATGCCTGTATGTCCCGGTACCCATACCAAGTTAACCCTATTAGTCCGAGCAATATCAGTAAGTTGCACTTAAGAACAAGCTTAGTGCTGACTTTGGGCGCTTTCAAAGCCCTTAGCGTTGCTTGACTGTCAGAGGTACTTCCACCCGTCTATTTAGGACCCATCCGTGAACCATGTGAGCCCGCTTCGGCGGATCACTTCAGGCTCTCGTTCCATCCACGGTCAGGAAATTGAACCAAGAAGGACGATGAGAACTTAAATTGGGGGCCATGTTGCCCTGTACCATAGAGACCACAGGACAACAATCTAGGGCCTGTCTCCAGATGTCATAATGGCTTATCCGACCATTAATTCCC